TTGAAGAATTTTGAATATGAAAAATGGTTAAGTGGTGTGGAATGCATAGGCCTGATCTGGGAGATCCTATATAGGGTGTGGACAGGGTTTGTTTGAGGGGGTCTCGGCTGGTTAGGCTGGGGGTGGGGATGTGGCTGGTGATGCTGTGGTCTGAGTGTAGGTCCTCTTGGAGTGGGTTCTCTTGGTGCAGGTCCTTCGGGAGGGGGTCTCGCAAGTCTGGGAGGGTGTCTCGCTGGTCTGGGCGGGGTGTCCGTTGCTCTGTTGCTCCTGTGTGAGGTGCTGGGGCTGCGGTTGAGGGTGACGTCCATCAGGGTCCTGGCAAAAGTTGGGATTGCTGCCTTGTAGAGGTGGACCTGGTCTTAAAGGCTGTTCAAGTCCAGGGTGTAGTGGTGGGCCAGCTAGACATTAGATTTTGAGGCACAGTCCCGGGACATTCTTGCATTCCCCTGTATGGTGGCAGGGTGAAAGTATTTTCGTGGTAGCAGGATGGAGATGACCACTCGTGTGTTAGGGAATGTGTAAGAAGCTTTTTCAATCACTCTATCACACACAAACACACACACACAGTGTCTGTATTCTTTGTCGAATCGAATCAGCAGAGGGCAGTGTTTACCAACCTACGAAAAGGCTAGAGGCCCTTATATTATGATAAAGATTAGGCCTCAAGCCCACTATCCCTTGAACTATCCCTGTATAAAACATTATTCACATACAGTAAGCTTTTTGTTATTTTTGATTTACGTGAAATACTCTTCTTGTACATGATCTCAAACGGGTCATGATGCTATAGTTAATGAGAAATTATGCATTCTAAAACTCGGCCTACATTTCATTTTTGGGTGCTCTTGTTTACATTTTCATAATCGGTTTACAGGTTATCGTGTCTCTCCGAAGCTGCAGCGCTTTTGGACAGGGCAGGGACAGCACCATTCAGATATAATCCAGTATAGAATACGATTCTATTTCTATGGACAACACCAAAGATGTTATATTTGTGACAACACTGAGGTGAGTGTTCTTGTGAGGTCACCATATTCAGTGATGCTCGCGGTGGTATCTAGTGACCACCCACACGTAGCAGTAGCTATTTTGCCGCTAGTAGCCGGATGAATTTGGGGGAGTGCCTGGTTTGAAAGTAGCAAACTGCCGTCGTTAGCGGGAAGGAGGCGGTTCTAGTCCTCGGCTAGCACGAGAGAAGACCCGCCTCATCTGTAGAATGAACGCTGCCAGTCTGTGGGAACGTTCCGACAGTTCTTATTATACCTCAGTGGTTCCAACAGGCTCCTTGGCTTTGGTAAACATGTTAGAGAGTTATCTTACAGCTTGATGACTACGTATGGATGGAAACTTGACGGTAAATGACACCACAAATCAACGTATTTATATTAGTGGTAGCCTACTATGGCGGGGATGGAATCGCAGTTATGCCAACGCTGAACTTTCATTCGATGTTCTATGCGGAGATAACGTTAACAAAGAACCCTCGCTCCAGCTAGCCAAAGCTAACGTTAATCAGACAGATTTAAAACAGTCATGGCGGAAATTCACTAATCGTTGTTGTCTTTGTATTGTTTTTAATTATGTTTTATCGTTTCGATTTCTCGATAGTGTATTTTGACAAACGACGTTAATCAATTGCTATTTTAATAGTTAAGCTGGGGTAGCTAGCTAGCTGCTAACTAGCTGGCTAGCCGCCATCAAGTAGAAGAGTGTCGCTATCACTGTAACGTTAGCTAGATAGCTAGCTAAATGCGCAGTCGGACATGGAACGATGTCGGTGATGCCTGTGAGCAAGTTAACGCAAAAGTAACGTTTCTCCACAGATTTAAAAAACAAAAGGGTTCGTCTGTTAGCTAACTACGTTAATGTGTAAAATGGTGTTTACTAGTTGATGAGACAGTTTACATTGATTGATGACAGAACTAGTTAACGTTAAATGTAAAGCAAGCACTGGCTAGTTCACCTCTGTAAAATTTTCAATAATATTGTTTGTCGTAGCTAAGGCCGGTGTGGTAAACTAAAAGCCTTGAGTTGTCAGCAGCCAGTCAAGTGTATGTAGGCTGTAGCTATGCTCAGATGTAACACATTATTTTCTCTACAAAGCTCCAACATTAATCCAAGCAGAGACGATGAATATGAGTCAGTCTCCTCTCTAGCCCAGTTAGCTGCCATTCGTTTTCCCATTAGACAGCTCTGCAAACGTTATATTGTCAAAATACATTCGTTAATCACCAAATGTGGAGTTTCTTTGAGTAACTATTGTAATTTACTGCTGTCACGCCCGGTAGGTACTTCCGAAAAAGGTCTAAATAAAAATGTACAAGTAACCGAAAAAAATTGTCTGGAAAGAATTGATGGTATTGTTTTTTGTAAGTGTAACGTTACATGCGCCAAATCCACATATTCGTTAAGATTACTGTAAAAACGTCACCTATATTGCCTACTTAATCTGATTACATGAAATATTATTGCATTCCGTGTAGCATGTGTGAAACAACCGGTTGATAAGACATTAATACTGTTGTAGGTGATAAAATCAATGATCTTTCGGGATACTGTACGGCTGCAGTAATTAGTCACATTATTAGTGATTTTAATGGAAGTACTGAAGAGGTGGAAGTACGTGCACACTTGGTAAAAAAACAAACAATAAAGATTATTTCCAGACAATACATTTTTTTTGTGTTGCTTATGTTTTATTAACACCTTTTTTGGAAGTACATACCGGGCGTGAAGGCAGTAAATTACTAGTTGCTCAGCGAAACTCCATATTTGGTGAGTAACGAACGTATTTTGACATAACACTTGCAGAGCTGTCTAATGGGAAAATGAATGGTAGCTAAATGGGCTAGAGAGGAGACTCATCGTATTAATTATCTCCTCCTCTGCCCAGATACTGGTTCAGACTACACATAGCTAGCAGATTGTAACGGGCTAATGTGTTGCTCCATCAGCTGTTATATGTTAGGTACTGTTTGGCATAAGACAGCAAATTTACGACCAACCTTAACTTCAAAATTAAATTAAATGAAATATTATTTGCCACATGTGCCGAATACAACAGGTGTAGACATTACAGTGAAATGCTTACTTACAAGCCCTTAACCAACAATGCAAAGTAAAACAAATAAAAAAAGTGTTAAGCAAAAAAAATTAAAGCAAATAACTAAAGAGCAGCAGTAAAATAAAAAACAGTAGGGAGGCTATATACAGGGGGGTACCTCAATGTGCGGGGGCACCGGCTAGTTAATATGTACATGTGGGTAGAGGCACACTTCCTCAATTCCCAACTTGGATGACAGCCACAGTCTAGTTGCAGGGGTTTCATTTGAATTTAGAAAATGCTCTGTTATTAAATAAAATAAATGTTTTGCTCCAAATAAGTTATCAGTGTTCTCTATTTCAAATCTTCTCTCATTTATCGAGACAGGTGAGTGTCATCATGACATGCAGCACTTTGGAATGGACACCCACCTGTCCCAATCAATGAGAGACGATTTAAAATAGACAAGATGGCGGCGTACACGTTGTAGCTCAGTTGGTAGAGCATGGCGTTTGCAACGCCAGGGTTGTGGGTTCGATTCCCACGGGGGGCCAGTATGAAAATGTATGCACTCACTAACTGTAAGTCGCTCTGGATAAGAGCGTCTGCTAAATGACTAAAATGTTGGATTACTTAATGGAGCAAAAAATGGATTCAGTTTAATAACGGAGCATTTTCTAAAATTAAAACTAACCCCCTGCAACTAGACATGGATGTTTAGAAGACAGTCTGTCTTCCAAATTGGGAATTGAGGAAGTATCGACAAGTTAAGGTCCGTCGTAAATTCTCTGTGCTACGCCAAACAGTACCTATCTAATAACGCCTATCAGCCAGCTGGAATAAATAGGCTATATTTTTAATAGCTAGATTGCACCACAAGCTAGTGAAACTACTGTAGTATTATGTGTATGTCCTGTGTGTTATGATATTTAGTTACCTAGCAGGACACTGTTTTTTTTTGCTGTGTACTGTAAAGCTTGAGAACTGTCTGCCATTTGATCACCATGACAAGGCACAGATCTTTTTTTTATTTTTTATAACCTTTATTTAACTAGGCAAGTCAGTTAAGAACAAATTCGTATTTACAATGACGGCCTACACCGGCCAAACCCGGACGACGCTGGGCCAATTGTGCACCGTCCTATGGGACTCCGGTTGTGATACAGCCTGGAATCGAACCAGGGGGTCTGTAGTGACCCCTCAAGCACTGAGATGCAGTACCTTAGACCGCTGTGCCACTTGATATATAAATACTGAAAATTGACAGTAGGCTACATTCAGTCTGTAGTTTCTACTGCTTTTTAAAAAACAATTTTAAACAGACATTCCTCTCAAACCTTTCTTTGCAGTCAGTGATGGCATTTTACCTGTTAAGTCATGAATTCTAGATTTTTTTTACCCCCCCACAAGTAAACCAGTTTGCCCCTTTACCCCTGAATTTCATTGCTATACTGATCTCGGCTGTCCCTGCTTCTTTCCCCCTGCAGTGACACTGGATCTCTGCTGGGAGTGTGTGGCCTGTCGTTGCCTGCAGAGTGAAGCTTGGTGCCTGGAGCTGAGTCTAGCTCTTTCCCCCTCCCTTCTGGTGGCTCCTTATACTGGATTGCGGCTGTACCCTGTGTCTTGCAGGATGGATGGTGTGGATCTAAAGGGTCTTGTGTGTCGGCAGCGCTCCCTGTTCTGTGACAGTGTTCTGTTCTTTTCCATTTACAAAAGAACACCCCCCATCCTCCACACAGACTCTGAGCCCTCTATACATACTAACTGTTTTTAAGCAAGTCACACAGGTAGGAATAGGAGAGGGAGATCTGCAAAACAAGCTCCTGTTTATTTGGTCAGTGATTTTTCTTTTTTTACCACATAGATTTCAGTTTCTTTCCAAAGCCTTTATGGAGGAAGTTTGAGTTTTCTTTTCTCTGTTGAATCGTATCCGCTCACTATCGTCGGGGGTGGTGGGATGTCGGAAAAGCCCAACAACAAGATGGTGAAGTTCCTGGCTCCCCTCCCCAAGAGTGGTAATGGTAACGGAAACAACGGGTCTGGCTCGGACTCGCTTGTTGGTGAACGGATGGCAGCGGAGGTGAGGCGGCGCCACCACACCATGGAGCGTGACCGTTGCGCCGCAGAACATCGAACATTCTTCCGTCGCAGCGTCATTAGCGACTCCAACGCCACAGCCCTTGACCTCCCCTTACCCAGTAAAATCCCTGTCCTCGCGCCCCTGGTACCCCGTGTGCGAGATGTCGCGCCCCGGCCTGCCGGTGCACCCCTCACCCCAAGACCTGCACCCCATGTGACTGTGAGGGAGGAGTCGGCTGAGAGCGAAGGTGGAGTGAAGGTGGATGTGGTGTCTGTAGAGCAGAAGGCTGCTGTACTACAGGATATCTGTGATGGGGAAGCAGTGGTGGCTCAGCCAGCAAACAGTCTAGCTGCCCAACCTCGGAGCCAAACGACAGAACCTGAACCTGAGAGTGAGGTGAAGGAGAGAGGAGAGGGGGAAGAAGGAGAGGGGAAGGAAGAGGATAAGGAAGAGAAGGAGAAAGCCCGGGTAGAGGCTGAACAGAGAGAGGCGGAGAAGAAGGTGCAGGATGACATTGAGGAAGCAGAGACGAAAGCGGTGGGAACATCGCCGGATGGGCGTTTCCTGAAGTTTGACATTGAGATTGGACGTGGTTCTTTCAAGACGGTCTACAAGGGCCTGGACACCGAGACCACAGTGGAGGTGGCATGGTGTGAGCTGCAGGTAAGATTGTGGGCTGCAACTCAATACTATCTATGTAGCCTAACAAACTTGTATCCTCATTTCCCTCCCTTCATGACTACTGATATGAAAGAGCACCACTGATAAGCCCAGTGATTACAAAATTGTCCGGTAGTCACTCATAACCTACAAAATCTGTGAGAAGAATATTCTAGTCTCATCTCAACCTGGTCTCAGAGCATTTTGTATTATTCTGTACGTAAATCAGAGACCCTCGATTTAGTATGATACTGTATGTTACATTTCGTATGGTATGTAATAATTTGTGGATGTCATCATCCATTATGTATGATATGTTAGAAATGCAATTCTTGCAATATGTTACAAATTTGAAAAATATACCATATGTTATGAATTCCAATTTGTGTCTGTTAGCTAGGTGGCTACCTCTAACGTTAGCTAGCTGGCTAACGTTAGCTAGGAGTTAAGGTTAGGGGTAGGGTTAGCTAAAAGGGTTAGGGGAAGGGTTAGGTAACATGCTAAGTAGTTGCAAAGTAGCTAAAATGTAATAATAATAATATGCCATTTAGCAGACGCTTTTATCCAAAGCGACTTACAGTCATGTGTGCATACATTTTTACGTATGGGTGGTCCCGGTGATCACAACACGCTACCCATGCTCTACCAATTGAGCTACAGAGGACCACAAGTAGTTGCAAAGGTGTCCTTGATGAGATTTGAACGCGCAACCTTTGGGTTGCTAAACGTTTGCATTATATGCCCACCTATCCACGCTGACCAACCACCCTACTTATGTTTTTGTCTTAAGTAACCATCTGTCTTATGTAGCCATACCAAACGTAACATATAATTCTAATATGACTTTCCAAATTACATTGAATTTTCCAATTCTAATTTGCCTTTCCAATTTAATTTACTATGTCTAGTCTATGAGACCAGGCTACTCATATTGACAAGTAGGCTTAGGCCCATAAGTCTGCCTTTCTTTCCTTCTGCGGTGACTATGGTCCTTCATGCTGTCTTTGAGTCACATTCGGGGCATTTGGACATTGTAACTGTGGGTGTCACCGGTTAAACACCTAAGGGTCTGTCAATCAGTCATAGTCATCCCTTCAGTGGTGTTGCAATTCCAGTGAACACTGGACCATTTGAATATTGTTGTGATCAAATGAAGTTTCAACCCCCATCCCCCGTTCCAATCTCACCCCACCCGAGGACCTAAGGGCTCAAATTAAATAAACATGGATAAAAAAAAAACAACATAAGCAACACGTCAGTGTTTCAGCAGCGAGCAGCAAGAAGCTATTGGTTCAAAGTGTCTTCTTTAGCGCCATGAATGCAAGCTGTAGACTCCATATAAATTACATCCATAAAAGTGAGGATCCCTTGATGGATAGAGAGTGGACCATTGTAATCGTAGAACTCATTCTTAAAAGGGAAATGTACAGTCCAATAACAATGTTTCCCCTATATTTTTTTCCGGCAGCCGTGGGAAAGTAAGCATTGAGCGCGGGCGTGGCCAATTGCATGCACGGTCTCCGACCAAAGATTTTAAAGGCCCTCCTCTTGGGCACTTAGACAAAATTGTGCTTTTTTAAAAGCAGATTTCGTGCAATTCTACAGATTTTGCCATGCCGTGTTCTTATGCTATCTGTGACTCAAACATTATAATAAAATCCATAGGAGACATTTTGTTTATTTGATTCTCTCGGACTGTCTAGTTTTTATTGGTGATTTGTTAGTTCTCAAAGATGATCTTAATAAAAATATAGCTCCATTATCTTTTCTACATAATTTACATCCAGTTTAAGTTTACACTGACAACGTTTTACCATCTCAAAAAGTATTTTCTAAAAATATTTATTGGAGTAGCGGCAACGATTTAGCAGCGGCGGCCCGCTTCTGCTAAATGACTGTAGGGGAAACACTGAATAGTTCTCCTGACATTTGCTGCATACGCTATTGTAATCTCCCTTTGTATTTATGATAGGCCTTATCTCCTTAGTCACGAGTTACTGGCATTTCCTCTTTGAGATCTAGCCCGTTGCCAATAGAATATAATGTTACAGAGCTGAAAATATATTTTCTATCAGGATGGACCTACCCCTTCCTGAATATAAGGGTCATGTTCATTAGTGCACAAAGCAGCAACGCTTTTTGAAATGGAATATGACAATCTTTGTTCTTATTGATCTCTGTTTCTAAATCGTTTCATGCCTACTGGACCCAGTCCTGTTCTATAGGTCCACGCAACCACACAACACCGGTGACTGGTTTGCCTTTGCGTTCCAGTAGACTTTGTTCTCGTGGCCCACAGCCAGAGTGATTTCCTCCCTGATTCAGTCTTCTGAGTCACAGCCACGGATGTTTCCCCTTTAAGAGACCTGGCCACCGTTTGCATGCATACAGTGGGGGAAAAAAAGTATTTAGTCAGCCACCAATTGTGCAAGTTCTCCCACTTAAAAAGATGAGAGAGGCCTGTAATTTTCATCATAGGTACACGTCAACTATGACAGACAAATTGAGAGAGAAAAAATCCAGAAAATCACATATTAATGGCACCTGATTGAACTTGTTATCAGTATAAAAGACACCTGTCCACAACATCAAACAGTCACACTCCAAACTCCACTATGGCCAAGACCAAAGAGCTGTCAAAGGACACCAGAAACAAAATTGTAGACCTGCACCAGGCTGGGAAGACTGAATCTGCAATAGGTAAGCAGCTTGGTTTGAAGAAATCAACTGTGGGAGCAATTATTAGGAAATGGAAGACATACAAGACCACTGATAATCTCCCTCGATCTGGGGCTCCACGCAAGATCTCACCCCGTGGGGTCAAAATGATCACAAGAACGGTGAGCAAAAATCCCAGAACCACATGGGGGGACCTAGTGAATGACCTGCAGAGAGCTGGGACCAAAGTAACAAAGCCTACCATCAGTAACACACTACGCCGCCAGGGACTCAAATCCTGCAGTGCCAGACGTGTCCCCCTGCTTAAGCCAGTACATGTCCAGGCCCGTCTGAAGTTTGCTAGAGTGCATTTGAATGATCCAGAAGAGGATTGGGAGAATGTCATATGGTCAGATGAAACCAAAATATAACTTTTTGGTAAAAACTCAAAGAACACCATACCTACTGTGAAGCATGAGGGTGGAAACATCATGCTTTGGGGCTGTGTTTCTGCAAAGGGACCAGGACGACTGATCTGTGTAAAGGAAAGAATGAATGGGGCCATGTATCGTGAGATTTTGAGTGAAAACCTCCTTCCATTAGCAAGGGCATTGAAGATGAAACGTGGCTGGGTCTTTCAGCATGACAATGATCCCAAACACACCGCCCGGGCAACGAAGGAATGGCTTCGTAAGAAGCATTTCAAGGTCCTGGAGTGGCCTAGCCAGTCTCCAGATCTCAACCCCATAGAAAATCTTTGGAGGGAGTTGAAAGTCCGTGTTGCCCAGCGACAGCCCCAAAACATCACTGCTCTAGGGGAGATCTGCATGGAGGAATGGGCCAAAATACCAGCAACAGTGTGTGAAAACCTTGTGAAGAATTACAGAAAACGTTTGACCTGTGTCATTGCCAAGAAAGGGTATATAACAAAGTATTGAGAAACTTTTGTTATTGACCAAATACTTATTTTCCACCATAATTTGCAAATAAAAATGTGATTTTCTGGATTTTTTTTCCTCATTTTGTCTGTCATAGTTGACGTGTACCTATGATGAAAATTACAGGCCTCTCTCATCTTTTTAAGTGGGAGAACTTGCACAATTGGTGGCTGACTAAATACTTTTTTCCCCCACTGTATGTTGATTTCTTCTAAAAGCGTTATTTATTTAGAGGTGTTGACGTGTTGGCCTGGATTTGGCCCTTAGTTAAATAGACCTACTGAATACAGTCAATAACACTTTATTTCCCCCTAGAGTTAATTTTTTGACTCAGCATCTTCTGTAACTCTGTAGTGCTGTTTCTTGTTTTACTCCCTGTAGTGAAAGGGCTGTAGCATTCTGCTTTAGCTCGGTAGCTGTAGCTCAGGGGGATTCTGGCAAACCAAAGGCCCAACGATAGCCCTGGCCCAGACGGGCTGTCTGCTTTTCCAGGGAAAAGGACAAGACACACAGCAGAGTTTAACCCCATTCAGTACATACAGTTGAAGCCGGAAGTTTACATACACCTTAGCCAAATACATTTAAACTCAGTTTTTCACAATTCCTGACATTTAATCCTAGTAAAAATTCCCTGTCTTAGGTCAGTTAGGATCACCACTTTATTTTAAGAATGTGAAATGTCAGAATAATAGTAGAGTGATTTTATTTCAGCTTTTATTTCTTTCATCATATTCCCAGTGGGTCAGAAGTTTACATACACTAAATTAGTATTTTGTAGCATTGCCTTTAAATTGTTTAACTTGGGTCAAACGTTTCGGGTAGCCTTCCACAAGCTTCCCACAATAAGTTGGGTGAATTTTGGCCCATTCCTCCTGACAGAGCTGGTGTAACTGAGTCAGGTTTGTAGGCCTCCTTGCTCGCACACGCTTTTTCAGTTCTGCCCACACATTTTCTATAGGATTGAGGTCAGGGCATTGTGATGGCCACTCCAATACCTTGACTTTGTTGTCCTTAAGCCATTTTGCCACAACTTTGGAAGTATGCTTGGGGTCATTGTCCATTTGGAAAACCCATTTGTGGCCAAGCTTTAACTTCCTGACTAATTTTCCTTCCTCATGATGCCATCTATTGTGTTAAGTGCACCAGTTCCTCCTGCAGCAAAGCACCCCCACAGCATGATGCTGCCACCCCCGTCCTTCACGGCTGGGATGGTGTTCTTCGGCTTGCAAGTTATCCCCTTTTTCCTCCAAACATAACGATGGTCATAATGGCCAAACAGTTCTATTTTTGTTTCATCAGACCAGAGGACATTTCTCCAAAAAGTACGATCTTTGTCCCCATGTGCAGTTGCAAACCGTAGTCTGGCTTTTCTATGGCGGTTTTGGAGCAGTGGCTTCTTCCTTGCTGAGCGGCCTTTCAGGTTATGCCGATATAGGGGCGGTAGGTAGCTTAGTGGTTAAGAGCGTTGTGCCAGTAACCGAAAGGTCGCAGGTTCTAATCCTCGAGCCGACTAGGTGAAAAATGTGCCCTTGAGCAAGGCACTTAACCCTAATTGCTCCTGTAAGTTGCTCTGGATAAGTAATAAAAATAAAATATAGGATTTATTTGCACTTTTCGCACCAAAGTACGTTCATCTCTAGGAGACAGAATGCGTCTCCTTCTTGAGCGGTATGACGGCTGCGTGGTCCCATGGTGTTTATACTTGCGTACTATTGTTTGTACAGATGAACCTTTAGCCCATTCAGGTGTTTGGAAATTGCTCCCGAGGATGAACCAGACTTGTGGAGGTCTACAATTTTTTTTCTGAGGTCTTGGCTGATTTCTTTTGATTTTCCCATGATGTCAAGCAAAGAGGCACTGAGTTTGAAGGTAGGCCTTGACATACATCCACAGAGACACCTCCAATTGACGCAAATGATGTCAATTAGCCTATCAGAAGCTTCTAAAGCCATGACATCATTTTCTGGAATTTTCCAAGCTGTTTAAAGGCACAGTCAACTTAGTGTATGCAAACTTCTGACCCACTGGAATTGTGATACAGTGAATTATAAGTGAAATAATCTGTCTGTAAACAATTGTTGCAAAAATTACTTGTGTCAGGCACAAAGTAGATGTCCTAACTGACTTGCCAAAACTATAGTTTGTTAACAAGACATTTGTGGAGTGGTTGAAAAACGAGTTTTAATGAGTCCATCCTAAGTGTATGTAAACTTCCGAATTCAACTGTATTTATATTGACACGCTTTGAACCTGTCAGAACCAGCACAGACAGCACACACACTGACAACGGAGCCTGTGGAGATGCTGCTGACACAGACCAGGCCCCTCGCTCAGCGCAGAGAGAGAATCCTGCACATGCTCCTGAGCTCAATGCTTGTGTGAATGTAAAATGGGTCAGATTCCTGACAGAGGAATTTCTTATCTCCTGTGTGAAGTGAAGTGCAGCAGGTTTCTTCCCATCCAGTCCCCCTTCAGCCCTTTATGCATCCACCCTCTCTCCCACCCCTCCCCCCTCCACTACTCCCTTCTCTCGCCCCTTCCTCCCTCTCTCCTCAGCCCCCTCCATTCTTCAGAGATGATGCTGACAGTGGCACATGACTAAGTGAGGCATATCTACACTATCTCCCCAGGATTCAGACCTAAAGCATATAACCAAATCAAACTGCTCATTTCTTTTTTTGTTGCCTAGACGCTGGATATATTCTTGCCTTTTCTCTTTCTTTTATGCTCCCTCTATCTAACTTTCAATCTCAAACCTTTTTCGTCCTGTAGAGAATGGAGAAATATGTTTGGTTTGGTGAAGAGCACATTGTCATCTCATATGAACATTCCCCATGAGTTGTCTCATATATTAATGCAACTCTTACTCAGTCATTGTTGCGCAAGTCATTGTTGAATGTGCACTGTTTATCTATGTGGCAGGGGTCACATTAATGCAGAATTCTGCATTTTTCAAAAAAAATTATAATAAAAAGATCGCAGAAATATCTTGCTGCGTTTTGTAAACTCAGATCTAAAATGCTTCTTATTGTAATCTCTGCTCGGCTTCTGACTAATTTTGTGCTTCCACTTGGATGAGATATCTTTGCTCTCGTCTTTAGACCAATTAGATTCCCGCATTCACGAATGGGCATTCGATCAGCAGACAGCACTCTGACTGATTGCAGAGAGGAAGAGGCGATGGTTACTTTAATATGGTAGTTTTGGCAAGTTAAATTGCAAGATTAATGTGAAGCAAAACATTAGGAAATGTAGCTGGCTACCTTCTTTCTATGGTAAACATCATGGCCATGCATAGTCTTTGCAAAAACATATACCTTGCTCTTTCATTATAGAGTCTCTAGTAATGATAAGCTGCTAATTTACCTCTCGCCGACCCTGATTGAGTCAATTTGTCAAGTCTGATGGGGAAACTAGCTGACTTCCATAAACAAAGTTAGGTGTGTGTGTGTAACTTGACCCCATCCCGAGCCTGGGCTCCCCATGGCTGTATGCCTGCAGGCTAATATGCTTATGCAGGGATGGAATGCTCAATGAATCTTTCATCTGTCTAGCAGCTTTTCATTACTAGACTCTGCTGTAGGCACTACGCTGGGAGGAGCTGAAATCCCCTCTCACACAGATATTAAAGCTGTCCCATGATCAGGTAAACTAAAGCACACAGCTTTATTCCCCAGACATATCCTAAGGCTACACACCAACCACCCTAACCCCATGTACACTGAGGCCCATCTCCTCCCTCCCATCCTAGACTAGACCAGACAGCCTTTCCAGCCTCCCAGCTCCAGACAGAGCCTATGTGTGAAGACTGGTCAGAGAGGCCAATCAGATAGCTGTTTAACATGTCTTTATGAGATATCTTAAAGGGTTTAATGAAATAGTAAAGTGGTGGTAATTCAGTGGACACTTTAACAATTACCATCTACAGTGACTATATACTTTCAGAACCGCTTTCTTTATAAAACCACTGTTAACTTATAGCCTACTCTCATAACTGCCCTCTCAGAAACCTTCATGCAGACTTTAACCCATAAGAGTCTAAGCCCTGGCTAAGCCGGGGAGGGGGGGGGGTTCTGCTAAGCTATATGGAATTGTTTTAAAAGGTCATACCAAGGAGGATTTTGCTTTTTGCTTTAGAATTTTAAGACCCCTTGAAGTACACTATATGACCAAAAGTATGTGGACACACTGCTCGTCGAACATCTCATTCCAAAATCATGGGCATTAATATGGAGTTGGTCCCCCCCCTTTGCTGCTGTAACAGCCTCCACTCTTCTGGAAAGGCTTTCTACTAGATGTTGGAACATTGCTGCGGGGACTTGCTTCCATTTAGCCACGAGCATTAGTGAGGTCGGGCACTGATGTTGGACGATTAGGCCTGGCTCGCAGTCGGCGTTCCAATTCATCCCAAAGGTTTTCGATGGGGTTGAGGTCAGGGCTCTGTGCAGGCCAGTCAAGTTCTTCCACACCGATCTTGACAAACCATTTCTGTATGGACCTCCCATTGTGCACAGGGGGAATTGTCATGCTAAAACAGGAAAGGGCCTTCCCCAAACTGTTGCCACAAATTTAGAAGCACATAATTGTCTAGAATGTCATTGTATGCTGTAGCATTAAGATTTCCCTTCACGGGAACTAAGGGGCATAGCCCGAACCGTGACAAACAGCCCCAGACCATTATTCCTCCTCCACCAAACTTTAAAGTTGGCACTATGCATTGGGGTAGGTAGCGTTCCCCTGGCATCCGCCAAACCCAGATTCGTCAGTCAAACTGCCAGATGGTGAAGTGTGATTCATCACTCCAGAGAACGCGTTTCCGCTGCTCCAGAGTCCAATGGCAGCGAGCTTTACACCACTCCAGCCGACTCTTGGCATTGCGCATGGTGATCTTTGGATTGACCCCTTTCATGAAGCTCCCGACAAACAGTTATTGTGCTGACGTTGCTTCCAGAGGCAGTTTGGAATTAGGTAGTGAGTGTTGCAACCGAGGACAGACGATTTTTACGCGCTTCAGCACTCGGCGCTCCCATTCTGTGAGCTTGTGTGGCCTACCACTTTGCGCTGAGCCGTTGCTGCTCCTAGATGTTTCCACTTTACAATAACAGCACTTACAGTTGACCGGGGCAGTGCTAGCAGGGAAGAAATTTGACAACCTATGACGGTGCCACGTTGAAAGTCACTGAGCTCTTCAGTGAGGACCTTCTACTGCCTATGTTTGTCTATGGAGATTGCATGGCTGTGCTCGATTTTATACACCTGTCAGCAACGGGTGTGGCTGAAATATCAGAATCTACTAATTTGAAGGGGTGTCGACATACTTTTGTGTGTGTATAGTGTATCAAAATAAATTATTTGATAAAATGTTATTTGGCCTTAGTGCTATTAGCCCATACAAACACATTGAATAACAGATTCACTACATGGAACAACAGTCTCCCAAAAAAATCTAAAGGAAGTTCGTTCTGAAGTGTCTGTCCTATATAAGAAAGATCAGTAAACATTATTTTTTTGGGACATGTATTACGCTCCATATATTGGGCACTAAACATTGTCCATATATACTTCCATTCATTTTTTTATCAACTGGTACCAGGGGACCTTCAGACGAGTCTTATGAGGCCTGTGAGTCTCACCTTTCCACAGATGGGTCATATTAGTGTGTAGCCCAAACTGTTTGGACGCTACAGACAGAAGTTAGCAGATTGGCTGTACCGACTTCAGACGAGTCCCACAATGCTTGTTGGGGGTCGTAGAGCAAAACGGAGAACATCGTGTTCGTGAGAGTCATCTTTCCATAGAGGGGTCATAATAGTTTGTAGGCCAAAACGTTCGGCCACTACAGACGATTTTGTGAGAAGACCGATTTTTGGGATGCCTCATGGTCTGACAAACACCGCTCTAGCTCTGTCACCTTACATCACAGATGCGGAAGTGCGACATAGGCATATGCGGTGGATTGATACGCATCCAATGCAAAAAACGGATTATCTCTAGCTTAAACGGACATATTTTTTATGGGGATTTTGTATTTATTATGCTAATTTAGATTTATGCGGGGGCGCGGACATCAACCTTAGGGGGTTTTAAGAACGAGTCCCCAATAAAGGTCCTCAGTCGACACTGCTTTCCTACTATCCTAGTGAAAATCCACATAGCCTTACATATAATATGTAGACTAGTTATAGCAAATTTTCAGATCTGCTTTCCATGTATCAACCAACAGGCTTTGGAGTGTGTAGTCAACCAATGTTCGCAAAAAAATAGTTCTGCACTGAACAAATTCCAGGTCTGCTGTGCGCAAACTTCTGTGCAACTTCCGGCGCGCGTTTACTGTGAACACTGAGGTTGTACCCTCTAAGTTCGTTTTAACAGTGGCCAAGTAGGCTACTGTGGCCATTTGATCATAATGTAGGCCTACCAGAGTTGCCTACTGTCAAAAATAATGGAGAAAAATGCATCCCATAACATTTTAACATGGAAATAGAGCAGCTATCATTCAGCCTACAGTAGCAGCTAATGTGGTGTTAGATGCCTACATTCCTTGAGATTTTTGGGAAAAAAATACACGCAGGGCTTGTCCTTCAGACAAGGAGGTGACTGAAAATGTTGTTTGATGCAAGAAACCACTTTACAAAATAAAAGTCTTTATTATTCAAATACCATTATTACAGAGAATCAGACAAATTATGCTCGGTCTATTGGGTACTTAGCTTATTCAAGACCATCTCAAAATGCAACACTGCCCCTTTAAGACATAAAAAAGCTCTTTACCTGATTGGTAATGGTGGACCAGTCTGTGTAGAGTATGAGTTGTGCCTGTCAATGCAATAGAATCCTATTCCAATGCGCTCTGCCTACAAGTACATCTCTTGCACAGTTTTACATACTAAATCTTGCATAGTTCGTTTTGTTTCAGTATAATACATTGGAAGTGGCTAATGTGTTGATTTGATCACAATTTACACAGTAGAGCGAACCGTTGATAGTGTTAACTAAAGGGGAAAACTGTAGAAAGTTGAGTGAAGTTCAGTCTCGTGCTTCTCTGCCCGGGCTCATATTTCTTCTGGCAGTCCGAGGGGAGCATTGTAGTCAACCACAATCATTCTAATTACATGAATGTAAAATCCTAAGAACGGTGTCTACGAAACCGATTCCATTCACCCATGCAAAACTACATGCTGCTTTTCTCTCCCTGCCTGCCTGTAACCCAGTCCATTAATGTCACTGTGGACCTGAGTCATTACGGTATTGAATGCACAGCTCTTCACTGGCATGGCACCAGTCAGGTTTCATCCTATTGTTTTACTGCATGTTAGTGCCAAGAGTCTCTTGAAGCCTATCTGATCTGGCAGGGCCACAGTACCTTCAGTATTGAAACTAAGTTGTTGCTGCTCCATGTGTATTGATTTCTCTGTGTTGTCTGTATCCTAAGTGTGTGTGGTCAGACCAACATGAAAGGGACAGTGCGTTTAGTATTTGACTGACAGCACAATTCTTGTGGATTTAGCTACTGTACACTACATACACAACAGTGTAATGTTGATAAAAAGCTTCACCCAATTGTTATTGTAGTAAATGTACATTGTGTACAAGTTATGACTAGGGTTGTCATGATACCAGTATCGCAATACTATGATAGCTGATTTTCAATGGCAAAAAGGAAAACACAAAGCAGACTAAACCTACTGTGTATGTAAAATATTGTGTGCTATAGCTTGGTAAAGAAACACGTGATTCTGGGTGACAACATAAGGCTGCTAATTTCCAACATTAGGGCTGTTTTCCTCATGAAATTCAGTCTGCTTGATGTTCTGGTATCGTGACAACCCTAGTTATGACAGTGATCTCATGTTGAAATGCATTCCCTGATGTATCTATAGGTTGTTTAGGGTATTGATAAATTCATCAGAGACTCAGGCAGGAACCTGTCTTAGTGGAAGAGCCTGTTGATCTGTGTTCATCAGCGCATACGTTAATCAGACTAGCTATTGCTTGCTCTACGGAAGTGTGAGATGAAGCTGTAAGCGTTTGAATGCAACAGCAGTACTCCAGACAGCAACACGTTTCACAAGTTTCCCCTCATAAAGGTCCTGAATCTTGTTTTAGTGTTAAAACGACACACAAAATGTTAATGGAATGGCCCCTTGATACTTTCAATCTGGAAGCCATATGTCCATACTGGTCTGGTAAAAATGTTGAATCATCCACCCACCCGTGCACACACACCCTCTCCATCTCATTCGTTTGGATCTCACATTGTAGGCATGTTTAAACGATAAGTAGGTCACAGCACAGGAGGAGGGAGGGGAAAAGAGACTCCTCTCTCTCTCACCCTGCCTCAACAAAGCATGTCATCCTGTCCTCCTTTGGCTGAGCCCCAGCATAGAAAGCTGAGCAGGAGAACTGTGAGGCAGGCATCCTTCAGTAGGCCAGGAACAGAAGGCTGCCAGCCTGGCTCAGAGCTGGTAAAATCCAGAGACTGCCACGATGCCAGCTGGTCAGGCTACGTTCCCCATAGTATTCTAGTGGCCTCTCCTTGTCTCTTCTCCTGACAGCTCTTCAATCGCATTCCAGAGCTATGTTGGAGCAGCTGTGCTACCATTCTGGACACTATGGGTTCGAGGGCTTGTCATATGATCCTCTGAAATGTATGACATCTCTCATAGACTTTTGCATCCATAGCTGTTGACCCATTGGGTTTAAAACATTCTGGAGGGTTCATCGTTTCAGTGGATGGCTATATTCAATTTTGGTTTGGCCAGTGAAGGCTAAACATCCCATCCATTCATGTGGCAAAACCGATGTGTTTCTTCCATTGCGGCTAGTGACACACAAGGTAGCCGTTTTGTGCCTGAACACTCGCTAGATGCCAGCTATTGCATTAGAAAGCTGACCACTGTGGAATTAGGAAAGCATTCTGTGCCAGAATTTAATGGTTATTTTCCAACCCGCAATGTTGTTTTAAAGAGATTAGCGATTTCCGGTGTTCGTACAAGCAGGATTTCTCTGGCTAACTCTGTTAGCGTGATCTGATGTGATTTTAGACTAGAGATTTCTAGAGGCTTCTCTGTACGAAGACATTCCTTGTTTTTTCAATTTTAATCTAATGGATAAAGAGGGGAAGACTGAAGCTTTGCTGTAGCTCTTTTATGTTTTGTGTGAACCAAAGAATCACTTAATCTGTGATCAGAAGGATAAGCCTGTTGCTCTGAGTTCAGTCAAACAGCCTCCTCCTAGCTGGTTAGCTGGCTTGTACTTCGTTCATTCAATAAATAGTCTAGTGAATTTACACCTGGGAACACCTTGGATTATTTTTCTGTGACTTTCTTTTCCATATGTCAGCAAAAAATCTTAAATGTCAATCATTGGCTTTATATGAACCAGTCAACTTTGCTCCTGGGCCTTGACAAGCAAAAAGCAGTAATTCATTGGCCAACATCACGTGTGTCAAAAACATTAAAGCACTATATAGCCAGCCGCCTGAGATACCATGTGCTTCACCCTCTCTGCCCCCCATATAGCCTACTGCCGTACACCAACTCTCCACACATAGTCTCGCTAGTTGCTACACACACACCCATCCACACAGCCATGTTTCTCACGCACCCACCCACGTTATGGGGTTAATGTGTATGTGTGAGTTTTCTACCAGTCTCCACTGACCTGCGGAACTCAGCTAGTCATTTTGTTAGTTCAGATGTAGTTCAGCCTGTAGTGTGAGGCGACCCCAGTCTGTCACTGGCTGACTGCTCTTCTCTCTGTATATGCTGTTCCACTGACCTCTACTGTCATTCCCCGTGGCCATCGGGGAGCTCCACACATGCATGTCAAATGTATAGAGAGGACACCACCATTGGAAGTTGATGGTTTGTAGCCAAACAACATTAGCCAAGTATGCAATCAAGGTATCACCAAATCTATGTGAGGGCTAATTGATTAAATGTGTTATGGTCTTCTCAATGGAAAATAGGTGCCCTGCTGCTGTTGCCAATATGGCCTGAGTCAGACCAGTGAACTGCTTCCCATTTTTAAATGTATCTTTTCCCCCAGTTTCACCCTCAGAGCAGAAACCTGACCAAGCCAGGCCTCAGAGTGGGCACAGACCCTTCTCTTTCCCTGCTCTTTGTCTATCTATTTATAGACTACATGGGTTATTTATGACAGCCTTTGCCTGGTAGCAGTGTGTGATCTTCCATGGAGGCCTGGGTTTTTACTGGCTTTAGAGTGGGTCCATGATGCTCTGTCTGAAAGCTGCCTCACATCACCTGGGCCGTTTGACTGCCCAGCTCTGGCTGTAACGCCAGGAATCTGCCCTCGTTAAAAAGGCATACACCTGCTAGCCATTTCTTATCCATGCTAGGGTAGCAGCTTGATATACAGCAGTGGCAACATAGCTATTTATTGAGCTGACTCATTCCCAGTCTGACAGACACAGAGAGCTACTGCTGTGAGTTACGACTGCAGTCTAGTCACTCGCTACTGCTGCTGTCTGCCCTCTGAATGGCTGCCAGCTGCCTGCCTGCCACCCGGGGATTTAGTTCACTTTATTACTGCTTTATTCCTATATTTTATAGGTCCCTTCCTTTGGCTGGCACACCTTTCAAATTACATTTGAATGATGTTGGCTGTGTCTCAAGTCTCCACTAGCTTCCTTGCCTTGTCTCCTTTCCTTCACCACCACTGATGTGAGAAAAGGTGATCGTATATTTTCACCTGCTAGTTTTAGAAGAAAATTAGGAGAAGAAAGGAGGAAAGTAGGGCTGGAAGGCAGCCATTGCCCCAGTGTTAATGTTGTGGTGGTCTTTGCCCTCTCCCCAGGTGGTGACAGATATAACCTGTGTGTATGGGTCCCCATAGCTACAGTCAGTAAGCTGTGCTGTGACTGACAGATACTGGAGATGCATCCAGCTGCAGATTATGCGGGCTGAGGTGGTCTGCGAATCTCAAAGCGCATGCGCCTCAGACGGTATTTTTGGTCTCAGACTGTATTTTTGGTCTCAGGTGGAATGCAACCTGAACTCGAGACATGCTCCAGGGCGTCAGTGTGCTACGCACATACCAGTCGGTGCACTAGCTCTGGTCCAGGGCGTTATGTTAGTGCGTTAGCATTGTAGTGGTTGAAGTTGGGAGAGGCTAGCTATCTGTGTGTTCAGGGTTAATTTTTTGATACAATGTTAATGCCAAAAATCACTACAACCAAGCAACCAGTGTTGCTTGTATTGTAGCTGTCACCTTGATAAATTGGCTACACTGACTAGCTAGCTACTACTAATAGCAAAGATACTGATAAGAGATGTGCATCTCTCCTTTCATGAACGATTCGATTTGCATCTAGATGATACTTTGGCTCCGATACAGGAACGATCCGTTTTAGTTTGAAACGATTCGGTTTGAATAGGGTAATGAATTGATGCAATACGATTCGATGCACTAAATGTTTTTGCGTGAACACATTAATTTTCCATTTTAAATTAATATCTGCTGCTGATGGGAGCTCAGGAGCTGGCCCCCGTTGCATAAAACATGTTCATTTTCTACTATCTTTTCCATTAAAGTTTCTTCAACTTTGTCAGTTGCACAAAACATTTTGTAAGGGTGCCCATGATGTCCCTTAAGTGCTTCATTCAGTATAGATATCAATGTAAACAGCATTTGTGGAGGTGAATGTTGCTTGCCTCTGCCCTGGTTTCAAAAGTAAATCAACCGTCAGCTAGCTAGCTAGGTACGCTAGCTAGCTACTTAGCTAAACAATGGAAGGTGCACATTCCATGACTACAAAGTTAGCTTGACGTGCTAGAAAGTAATTGAAACAAGTTGAGAAAAGGTAACTAAAATAAACGTGTTTTATTATCTTCTGAATAAATGCATATCTTTGACAAGTTCAGCCAGTGAATCACTCTTTCTGCCATACATCAAATCAAATTTTATTTGCCACATGTGCGGAATACAACAAGTGTAGACCTTACAGTGAAATGCTTACTTATAAGCCCTTAACCAACAACGCAGTTTTAAGAAAAATAAGTGTTAAGTATTTTTTTTATAGATAAGTAAAACATTTAAATAACTAATAATTAAAGAGCAGCAGTAAAATAACAGTAGGGAGGCTATATACAGGGGGTACCGGTACAGAGTCAATGTGCGGGGGCATAGGTTAGTCGAGGTAAATGAGGTAATATGTACATGTGGGTAGAGTTAAAGTGACTATGCATAGATAATAAACAGAGTAGCAGCAGCGTAAAAGAGGGGGTGGGGGGACAATGCAAATAGTCCGGGTAGCCATGATTAGCTGTTCAGGAGTCTTATGGCTTAGGGTGAATATAGGTCCTGGTATATAGGTCCTGGATGGCAGGAAGCTTGGCCCCAGTGATGTGCTGGGCCGTACGCACTACCCTCTGTAGTGCCTTGAGGTCGGAGGCCAAGCAATTGCCATACCAGGCAGTGATGCAACCAGTCAGGATGCTCTCGATGGTTCAGCTGTAGAACTTTTTCAGGATCTGAGGACCCATGCCAAATCTTTTCAGTCTCCTGAGGGGGAATAGGCTTTGTCGTGCCCTCTTCACAACTGTCTTGGTGTGTTTGGACCATGATATTTATTGGTGATGTGGACACCTAGGAACTTGAAGCTCTCAACCTGTTCCACTACAGCCCCGTCGATGAGAATTGGGGCATGCTCAGTCCTCTTTTTTTCCTGTTGTCCACAATCATCTCCTTCTGTCTTGATCACTTTGAGGGAGAGGTTGTTATCCTGGCACCACACGGCCAGGTCTCTTACCTCCTCCCTATAGGCTGTCTCATCGTTGTCGGTGATCAGGCCTACCACTGTTGTGTCGTCGGCAAACTTAATGATGGTGTCGGAGTCGTGCCTGGCCATGCAGTCATGGGTGAACAGGGAGTACAGGAGGGGACTGAGGGGCCCCCGTGTTGAGGATCAGCGTGGCAGATGTATCAAATAGCCCCCGCGATATGCAACTTTTCAGGGAAGTTAGGAACCAATATACACAAGCAGTTAGGAAAGCAAAGGCTAACTTTTTCAAACAGAAATTTGCATCCTGTAGCACTAACTCCAAAAAGTTTTGGGACACTGTAAAGTCCATGGAAAATAAGAGCACTTCCTCCCAGCTGCCCACTGCACTGAGGCTAGGAAACACTATCACCACCGATAAATCTACAATAATCGAGAATTTCAACAAGCATTTTGCTACGGCTGGCCATGCTTTCCACCTGGCTACCACTACCCCGGCCACCAGCTCTGCACCCTCCGCTGCAACTTGCCCATGCCCCCCCCCCGCTTCTCCTTCACACAAATCCAGACAGCTGATGTTCTGAAAGAGCTGCAAAATCTGGACCCCTACAAATCATCTGGGCTAGACAATCTGGACCCTTTCTAAAACTAGCCGCCGAAATTGTCGCAACCCCTATTACTAGCCTGTTCAACCTCTCTTTCATAACGTCTGAGATCCCCAGAGATTGGAAAGCTGCCGCGGTCATCCCCCTCTTCAAAGGGGGTGACACTCTAGATCCAAACTGTTACAGACCCATATCCATCCTGCCCTGCCTTTCAAAAGTTTTTGAAAGCCAAGTTAACAAACAGATCACCGACCATTTCGAATCCCACCGTACCTTCTCCGCTATGCAATCCGGTTTCCGAGCTGGTCATGGGTGCACTTCAGCCACGCTCAAGGTCCTAAACGATATTATAACCGCGATCGATAATAGACAGTACTGTGCAGCCGTTTTCATTGACCTGGCCAAGGCTTTCGACTCTGTCAACCACCGCATTCTTATTGGCAGACTAAATAGCCTTGGTTTCTCAAATGACTGCCTCGCCTGGTTCACCAACTACTTCTCAGATAGAGTTCAATGTGTCAAATCGGAGGGCCTGTTGTCTGGACCTATGGCAGTCTCTATGGGGGTGCCACAGGGTTCAATTATTGGGCCGACTCTTTTCTGTGTATATCAATGACGTCGCTCTTGCTGCTGGTGTCTCTCAGATCCACCTCTACGCAGACGACACCATTTTGTATACATCTGGCCCTTCATTGGACACTGTGTTAACAAACCTCCAAACGAGCTTCAATGCCATACAACACTCCTTCAGTAGCCTCCAACTGCTCTTAAACAGTAGTAAAACTAAATGCATGCTCTTCAACCGAACGCTTCTTGCACCCGCCCACCCGACTAGAATCACTACTCTCGACGGGTCTGACCTAGAGTATGTGGACAACTACAAATATCTAGGTGTCTGGTTAGACTGTAAACTCTCCTTCCAGACTCACATTAAGAATCTCCAATCCAAAGTTAAATCTAGAATCGGTTTCCTATTTCGCAACAAAGCCTCCTTCACTCATGCTGCCAAACTTGCCCTCGTAAAACTGACTATCCTACCGATCCTTGACTTCGGCGATGTCATTTACAAAATAGCCTCCAACACTCTACTCAGCAAATTGGATGTAGTCTATCACAGTGCCATCCGTTTTGTCTCCAAAGCCCCATATACTACCCACCACTGTGACCTGTACGCTCTTGTTGGCTGGTCCTCACTACATATTCGTCGCCAAACCCACTGGCTCCAGGCCATCTATAAATCACTGCTAGGCAAATCCCCGCCTTATCTTAGCTCATTGGTCACCATAGCAACACCCACCCGTAGTATGCGCTCCAGCAGGTATATCTCACTGGTCATCCCCAAAGCCAACACCTCCTTTGGCCGCCATTCCTTCCAGTTCTCTGCTGCCAATGACTGGAACAAATTGCAAAAATCTCTGAAGCTGGAGACACTTATCTCCCTCACTAACTTTAAGCATCAGTTGTCAGAGCACCTTACCGATCACTGCACCTGTACACAGCCCATCTGAAATTAGCCCGCCCAACTACCTCATCCCTATATTGTTATTTATTTTGCTAATTTGTACCCCAGTATCTCTATTTGCACATCATCTCTTGCACATCTATCATTCCAGTGTTAATACTAATTGTAATTATTTTGCACTATAGCCTATTTATTGCCTTACCTCCATAACTTGCTACATTTGCACACACTGTATATATATTTATTTCTGTTGTATTTTTGACTTTGTTTTGTTTTACCCCATATGTAACTCTGTGTTGTTGTTTTTATCGCACTGCTTTGCTTTATCTTGGCCAGGTCGCAGTTGTAAATGAGAACTTGTTCTCAACTGGTTTACCTGGTTAAATAAAGGTGAAATAAATAAAATAAATAAATAAAATGTGTTGTTACCTACCCTTACCACCTGGGGGCAGCCCATCAGGAAGTCCAGGATCCAGTTGCAGAGGGGAGGTGTTTAGTCCCAGAGTCCTTACATGCCTTCAAACTACCGTAAAACCATTAAATGATGCCCTCACCTAAGGAAATGTTTGAGGGGCTCTATGCAACACCCTTAAACAATTCCTTTAGGTAAGGGAACATTATTCCTTAAAGGTGCAATATGCAGAAATCACTCCGCCACTTCCTGGTTGCTAAAATTAAAATAGTTTGCCCAATTTCAGTTTGTGACAAAACAAGCAATGTTTAGTGTAGAGAATCATTGTAACATCTAAACCGCTGTGAAATATATTTTCAATAAGCAAAAATATTGTATTTTCAGCTGTTTGAAGCTGGTGTACAAAACCAAAAGTGAAAGACGCAAAAATGTAACTTAAGAACAGGAAGGATCTGAATAGCGCACATAGAACAGATCTACAGCTTCTTAGAATTGCTTTCAATGAGAATTACAGATCTAAAACTCAGATTTCTATGTGAATTTGGTTGTGTTGCCCAAAAGGGTGCATATTGCAGCTTTAAGGTAAACCCTTAAGGTAAACAATTAAGATGTTTTATGCAACCGGGCCCTGGGCCTCAGCTGATTCTGTCTGAGATTACTTCTCTAAGCTGAGTGGCTCTCTGTTAGTGTGTGTGGCAATGTATTCTTTTTCTCCCCCCACGTTTTATCAGAAATCACAATCACCTACTGATTAACTTGTCAGTTTTGCAGATAATAAATGTTTTGAGGTAGTACTATGTCAATATTTATCTTTAGAGATTAGCATGGCATTTAGCCAATTAATATAATGCAGCTTTGGATTTTACCCGTCTCAAAAGTGATTGGTTTAGACCTTTTGGAATTTTACAGAGAGCTTCTCCCGCTCTGACCAATGAATGTGACCATGCGCAGCTCGCAAAAAATATTTCTGTCCTTTATGAAATTACCCTGTTAAATTAAAAATGACCAAATACACTGACTGTTTTAAAGCAAAACTACCAAAACTATTTTTATGGTGAACCTGAACAATCTAAATAAAATCTGAATGATTGACAACCCCAATCAGCAGTGAGTTACAGTGGGGAGAACAAGTATTTGATACACTGCCGATTTTGCAGGTTTTCCTACTTACAAAGCATGAAGAGGTCTGTAATTTTTATCATAGGTACACTTCAACTGTGAGAGACGGAATCTAAAACAAAAATCCAGATCCAATCACATTGTATGATTTTTAAGTAATCATTTGCATTTTATTGCATGACATAAGTATTTGATCACCTACCAACCAGTAAGAATTCCTGCTCTCACAGACCTGTTAGTTTTTCTTTAAGAAGCCCTCCTGTTCTCCACTCATTACCTGTATTAACTGCACCTGTTTGAACTCGTTACCTGTATAAAAGACACCTGTCCACACACTCAATCAAACAGACTCCAACCTCTCCACAATGGCCAAAACCAGAGAGCTGTGTAAGGACATCAGGGATAAAATTGTAGACCTGCACAAGGCTGGGATGGGTTTCAGGACAATAGGCAAGCAGCTTGGTGAGAAGGCAACAACTGTTGGCGCAATTATTAGAAAATGGAAGAAGTTCAAGATGACGGTCAATCACCCTCGGTCTGGGGCTCCATGCAAGATCTCACCTCGTGGGGCATCAATGATCATGAGGAAGGTGAGTGATCAGCCCAGAACTAGTCAATGACCTGAAGGACCTGGTCAATGACCTGAAGAGAGCTGGGACCACAGTCTCAAAGAAAACCATTAGTAACACACTACGCCGTCATGGATTAAAATCCTGCAGCGCACGCAAGGTCCCCCTGCTCAAGCCAGCGCATGTCCAGGCCCGTCTGAAGTTTGCCAATGACCATCTGGATGATCCAGAGGAGGAATGGGAGGTCATGTGGTCTGATGAGACAAAAATATAGCTTTTTGGTCTAAACTCCACTCGCTGTGTTTGGAGGAAGAAGGATGAGTACAACCCCAAGAACACCATCCCAACCGTGAAGCATGGAGGTGGAAACATCATTCTTTGGGGATGCTTTTCTGCAAAGGGGACAGGACGACTGCACCGTATTGAGGGGAGGATGGATGGGGCCATGTATCGCGAGATCTTGGCCAACAACCTCCTTCCCTCAGTAAGAGCATTGAAGATGGGTCGTGGCTGGGTCTTCCAGTTTGACAACGACCCGAAACACACAGCCAGGGCTACTAAGGAGTGGCTCGGTAAGAAGCATCTCAAGGTCCTGGAGTGGCCTAGCCAGTCTCCAGACCTGAACCCAATAGAAAATCATTGGAGGGAGCTGAAAGTCCGTATTGCCCAGCGACAGCCCCAAAACCTGAAGGATCTGGAGAAGGTCTGTATGGAGGAGTGGGCCAAAATCCCTGCTGCAGTGTGCAAACCTGGTCAAGACCTACAGGAAACGTATGATCTCTGTAATTGCAAACAAAGGTTTCTGTACCAAATATTAAGTTCTGCTTTTCTGATGTATCAAATACTTATGTCATGCAATAAAATGCAAATTAATTACTTAAAAATCATACAATGTGATTTTCTGGATTTTTGTTTTAGATTCCGTCTCTCACAGTTGAAGTGTACCTATGATTAAAAATTACAGACCTCCTACATGCTTTGTAAGTAGGAAAACCTGCAAAATCGGCAGTGTATCAAATACTTGTTCTCCCCACTGTATTTGCGAGGGGAAAAAAACATATGGGGAATTGGAAGTAATGCAGACAATTACATTGATTACACAGTTATCTGACAGCCATACGCAGTAGGCTTGGGCGGTATACTGTGTATACCGGTGCATTTTGAAAAAGCCACAGGATGGTTTTTCAATACCGTTAACTATTTCTTTGAAGTTTGTTTTAATAAATTTGAATATTTGTAGCTGCTTTTTAAGGAAATACCTGCAGTCAACGTATGCGATACGTTAGGAGATAAAGAACATTGCGTTCTTCATCTGTCACATTATGTAGTTTATGGTAGTCCCCAGTCACGTGTCATGTGGTGTTTGTTTATAAACACACGACAACAAGAGACCGGAGCCTTGAGAGTCACTCACTGTCGTGCAGCATGCGCCAGGTGATCTAATTACAGTATGGAATTCATAACTACATGTTTGCCAACTAGATACAGTATCATAACTATTAAGTTAACTGTCTAAAATGTTCTAAATGCTCTGCAGTTGTGCATTTGGTTTGCTAATTTATTAGCTAGTTCGCTATCTAGCTAAGTGGTTAGCTTGTTCTAAAATCAAGTATTTATTGTTGACAGCAGAAATTCCCATCTTGGATCAAGAACCTGACTGGAGAATTTTTGTTTTGTGCATACAGCAAACTGTGAGTAGTGTTTTTTAGTTACTTGTATAGTTTAGGTCAGAAACAAGAACAAATTGTTCGCAATGCGCTCGTTATAATTTAGTTAGCATTGTCTATGAGGATTCCTTAGTACTTGTTAGCATTTTGTTAGAAGTGAAATTTTTTGGGCTTTTTTATTTTTTATTTAACTAGGCAAGTCAGTTAACAAATTCTTATTTACAATGACGGCCTACCCTGGCCAAACCTGGACGACGCTGGGCCAATTGTGCACCGCCCTATGGGACCCCCAATCACGGCCGGTTTGTGATACAGCCTGGAATCGAACCAGGGTCTGTAGTGACGCCTCTAGCACTGAGATGCAATTTCACCACCCATGCTGTTGGTGGCGGTAACGCACCATCCTCTGTCACCATTCCACATCCTGTCTCAGCTCGTACGTTTCACAGCATTTATGCCTTGAGAAGGTATCTGATGGAGACAGACTCTTTTGAGATACTTGGCCTATTTCGGCACTGGATTTATGGCTGTGGTAATGTTTACATTTTGCAGTGGAGGACATTCTGATTTGCATTTGTACCCTACCCATTACCCAGAACATTCTGTGCCAGCATGGTGCCCATTACAATTCTAGGTTAGTAAATCTCAAACTAGGTTTGTGAATATCTGTAGTTTTGGGTCAGTATGAGTGCTCTTTCTGAGTGAGTCGCAACCTGCTTAGTCAGAAACTCCGTATAGTTGTTAGTTACCAAAAAACAGCAAGGCTATAACTGTGACTCTTGTCAATCTTAGTGGTGACTGATTTCATAGTGAAGCAATGAGCTCAGTTGGTAGAGCATGGCGCTTGCAACGCCAGGGTTGTGGGTTCGATTCCCATGGGGGGCCAGTATGAAAAATGTATGCACTCACTAACTGTAAGTCGCTCTGGATAAGAGTGTCTGCTAAATTACTAAAATGTAAGTCTGAAGTTTACATACACTTAGGTTGGAGTCATTAAACTCCACAAATTTCTTGTTAACAAACTATAGTTTTGGCAAGTCGGTTAGGACATCTACTTTGTGCATGACACAAGTAATTTTTCCAACAATTGTTTACAGACAGATTATTTCACTTATAATTCACTGTATTACAATTCCAGTGGGTCAGAAGTTTACATACACTAAGTTGACTGTGCCTTCAAACAGCTTGGAAAATTCCATAAAATGATGTGAGCTCCTGAGTGGCGCAGTGGTCTAAGGCACTGCATTGCAGTGCTAACTGTGTCACTAGAGATCCTGGTTCGAATCCAGACTCTGTCGCAGCCGGCCGCGACCGGGAGACTCATGGGCGGCGCACAATTGGCCCAGCGTTGTCCAGGGTAGGGGAGGGAATGGCCGGCAGGGATGTAGCTCAGTTGATAGAGCATGGCGTTTGCAACGCCAGGGTTGTGGGTTCGATTCCCATGGGGGGCCAGTATAAAAAAAAATATAAAAAACTGTAAGTCGCTCTGGATAAGAGCGTCTGCTAAATGACAAAAATGTAAATGTAATGGCTTTAGAAGCTTCTGAAAGGTAATTAACATCATTTGAGTCACTTGGAGGTGTACCTGTGGATGTATTTCAAGGCCTACCTTCAAACTCAATGCCTCTTTGCTTGACATCATGGGAAAATCTAAAGAAATCAGCCAAGACATCAGAAAAAAAATGGTAGACCTCCACAAGTCTTGTTCATCCTTGGGAGCAATTTCCACACGCCTGAAGGTACCACGTTCATCTGTACAAACAATAGTACGCAAGTATAAACACCATGGGACCACGCAGCCATCATACCACTCAGGAAGGAGATGTGTTCTGTCTCCTAGAGATGAACGTACTTTGGTGCGAAAAGTGCAAATCAATCCCAGAACAACAGCAAAGGACCTTGTGAAGATGCTGGAGGAAACAGGTACAAAAGTATCTATATCCACAGTAAAACGAGTCCTATATCGACATAACCTGAAAGGCCGCTCAGCAAGGAAGAAGCCACTGCTCCAAAACTGCCATAAAAAAGCCAGACTATGGTTTGCAACTGCACATGGGGACAAAGATCATACTTTTTGGATAAATGTCCTCTGGTCTGATGAAACAAAAATATAACTGTTTGGCCATAATGACCATCATTATGTTTGGAGTGAAAAGGCTTGCAAGCCAAAGAACACCATCCCAACCCTGAAGCACGGGGGTGGCAGCAGCATGCTATGGGGCTTTGCTGCAGGAGGGACTGGTGCACTTCACAAAATAGATGGCATCATGAGGAAGGAAAATTATGTGGATATATTGAAGCAACATCTCAAGACATCAGTCAGGAAGTTAAAGCTTGGTCGCAAATTGGTCTTCCAAATGGACAATTACCCCAAGCATACTTCCAAAGTTGTGGCAAAATGGCTTAAGGACAACATAGACAAGGTATTGGAGTGGCCATCACAATGCCCTGACCTCAATCCCATAGAACATTTGTGGGCAGAACTGAGAAAAAGCGTGTGCGAGCAAGGAGGCCTACAAACCTGACTCAGTTACACCAGCTCTGTCAGGAGGAATGGGCCAAAAATTCACCCAACTTATTGTGGGAAGCTTGTGGAAGGCTACCTGAAACGTTTGACCCAAGTTAAACAATTTAAAGGCAATGCTACCAAATACTAATTGAGTGTATGTAAACTTGTGAACCACAGGGAATGTGATGAAAGAAATAAAAGCTGAAATAAATCCTTCTCGCTACTATTATTCTGACATTTCACATTCTTAAAATAAAGTGGTGATCCTAACTGACCTAAGACAGGGACTTTTTACTAGGATTAAATGTCAGGAATTGTGAAAAACTGAGTTTAAATGTATTTGCCTAAGGTGTATGTAAACTTCTGACTTCAACTGTATGTGGCTCACTGTTGTTCGCTGTCATGATCTCACTTCTGAGTGTTGAGCTGTTTAACACTACTGACATTCTGATCTTGTGATACTGTTTTCAGAGAAAGGCTGTGCACACAGGTGTGTTTGTATGTGTAGGCCTAAGTGTGTGTGTCTGTGTGTTGGTTTGTGAGTGTGCTGTGGAGTGGCACTGGCAGGCTCTGAGAGGAGGCTATTCAGGTGAGCTAGGAGACGGTGGCTGAGTGCTGCTATGTTTACTTACTAAACTCGAATCTGCCCCACTGACTCTCTCCCTCTCCTGGCCTCCTCAGTCAGTTAACCATTGCTCGGACTGGGCACAGCCCAGATAGCAGCAGACAGTACAGTACAACTCTGACGTGAGGAGACACTTAACGTTACAGTTCAGGGGTCCAAGTCAAGCCCTACCCTATGCACTCAACTGTAGATCTGACAGAATTGGATTAGAATTAGCACGAAGGCAAATAGATCGGATAGAAAGGCATCTGACTGTCAGGCTGCTCCGAACTCTAATGACAGTACAGTACAATGTAAATCTACCTTAATAATCCACTGAAAATCTTGTCAGCTTTACAAGATGTGCTAATGTGTATTAGGGCTGGGCGTTATTGCGAAAATATATCCCGGTATAAAAAGGGACGGTATTTTATGTTTTTGAATAATAAGTTACAAATGATCTTTATGAGTAATGTGTGACCCTAGGGTGGCAACACATACATTCTAAGGGATTTCAATGGGTCTTTCTCCATTCTGATTGTTTTATGCGGTTCAATTGAACTTCAACCCAAAATAATTTTCTGCATTTTCATCCATTTCTGCATTTCCTGAGATCAGTTCCACCCTGCCACGAAGGGCTGCACGATATGAGCAAACGATCTAGGCCTTATTTTTTACCAAATCTTGCAATTGTGATTTGACTTGTGATTTAGAGCAAAACACTTGGGTGAACGGTTTGAATCATGGAAATGGAATGATTATTCTAATTCTATAGTTAGAATATAATAGTGGGCACTTTGAATACAGTGTTTGACATGACGACAAATGAAAATGCCAGGGAGGAGTTATTGTAACAGAATAGGAATCAGTGTTGACAAGTGTTTCCTAGGGGACCCTATAATCTTTGGCTACATTTTAATATTTTCTCTTAGCTACTTCATGTAGCTAACATATTTTTGCTTTGCGTGTTCCTCTTTGATTTAGAAGATACTGTTGCACAAAAAAACATGCAGATGTACACTACGTCAAAGGTTTGGACACACCTACTCATTCAAGGGTTTTTCTTTATTTTTACATTTTTTTACATTGTAGAAAAATCAAAACTATGAAATAACACACAGAATCATGTAGTTAGCAAAAAAGTGTTAAACAAATCAAAATATATTTGAGATTCTTCAATAGCCACCCTTTGCCTTGATGACCGCTTTGCGCACTCTCTTGGCATTCTCTCAACCAGCTTCATGAGGTAGTCACCTGGAATGCATTTCAATTAACAGGTGTGCCGCCTTAAAAGTTAATTTGTGGAATTTATTTCCTTAATGCGTTTGAGCCAATCAGTTGTGTTGTGACAAGGTAGGGGGGGATATACAGAAGATAGCCCTATTTGGTAAAAGACCAAGTCCATATTATGGCAAGAACAGCTCAAATAAGCAAAGACAAACGACAGTCCATCATTACTTTAAGACATGAAGGTCAGTCAATAGGGAACATTTCAAGAACTTTGAATGTTTCTTCAAGTGCAATCGCAAAAACCATGAAGCGCTATGATGAAACTGGCTTTCATGAGGACCGCCACAGGAATGGAAGATCCAGAGTTACCTCTGCTGCAGAGGATAAGTTCATTAGAGTTACCAGCCTCAGAAATTGCATCCCAAATAAATGCTTCACAGAGTTCAAGTCACAGACACATCTCAACATCAACTGTTCAGAAGGGACTGTGTGAATCAGGCCTTCATGGTCGAATTGCTGCAAAGAAACCACTACTAAAGGACACCAATAAGAAGAATAGACCTGCTTGGGCCAAGAAACACGAGCAATGGACATTAGACCATTGGAACTGTGTCCTTTGGTCTGGAGTCCAAATTGGAGATTTCTGGTTCAAACCGCCATGTCTTTGTGAGACGCAGAGTAGGTGAACTGATGATCTCCACATGTGTATTTCCCACCGTAAAGCATGGAGGAGGAGGTGTAATGGTGTGGGGGTGCTTTGCTGGTGACACTGTCTTTTGATTTATTTAGAATTCAAGGCACACTTAACCAGCATGTCTACCACAGCATTCTGCAGCGATACGCCATCCCATCTGGTTTGGGTGTTGTGGGTCTATCATTTTTTCCAACAGGACAATGACCCAACACACCTCCAGGCTGTGTAAGGGCTATTTTACCAAGAGGGAGAGTGATGGAGTGCTGCATCAGATGACCTGGCCTCCACAATCACCCTACCTCAAACCAATTGGGATGGTTTGGGATGAGTCGGACAGCAGAGTGAAGGAAACGCAGCCAACAAGTGCTCAGCATATGTGGGAACTCCTTCAAGACTGTTGGAAAAGCATTCCAGGTGAAGCTGGTTGAGAGCATGCCAAGAGTGTGCAAAGCTGTCATAGGCAAAGGGTGGCTACTTTGAAGAATCTCAAATATAAAATATATTTTGATTTGTTTTAACACTTTTTGGGTTACTACATGATTCCATATGTGTTATTTCATAGTTTTGATGTCTTCATTATTATTCTACAATGTAGAAAATAGTAAGAAATAAAGAACAACCCTTGAATGAGTAGGTGTGTCCAAACTTTTAACTGGTACTGTAGGTCTACACCATCACTGGCATTATCAGGCTGTATAGCTAGTTATGTTTGTTCTGACTCACGCCTTGATCACACCGATAGCGTCATTGTGCAAAATAGTATGCAGCATCATCTGGAAATGTGTGCAACCAAAGTTCACCGTTCACCTTCTGCTACCATTTCTGTCAAGCCGTCTACGCATACAGTTTGACGCATACGTTCGATAAATCCAATGTATGCACCACACAGAATGCACTGCAACTGCCTCTGCAATGCAATGCTGCAAGGCAAACACAGCGTTCCATGGGAAATGTAATGTACTTCTGGTGTACCAAAATGCAATGACGCTGTTGGTGTGATCGAGGCGTCAGTACATTTTATTAGCTAGATAGTGATTAGCATTAGCAGCTAACAAGATTTAGGCCCAACTTTCTATGGAAAGACAAACTAGCTGTTTGCCGATGTAAGAAACACAAACTAATAGTGTAATTATAGAACGCTAGTGGATTTATATTAAAAAGTAAAGTGATGACTGCATCGTTGTCAACAACATTGTTGCATGTGCTGCATTGACCATGCAGAGACAATTCAAGTGTTGTGGTCGAGGAACAACAAATGCGCTCCTTTAGTAACAGGGGGCAGGGCTAGGTCTGTGTGGAAAGCGGCATGGAGAGAGATGACTCAGGTAGAAAACTATATCAATGGATGTTACACACGGCGTATCACATTTAACAAACCAAACATTCACATACCGTTATAGAAGGTAAAGTAAAAACCCAAACCGATCTGTGCATCAATGTAAAATACGGTATACTGCCCAGCCCTAATGTGTAGGGGCGAGGGGTCTGTTTTTGATTTGAAAGAGCAAAGAAAAGGAAAGGGGAACCACGGGCCCAGCAGAAACTGAAACTAGGTCAGAGGGCACAGCAAGCACCCCCTCGACCCTGACATTCACCCCCAGCCCTCATCCAGGCTCAGGGTCACCCCTCCGACTAAAATATACTCTTGTTCCCTATCACCCCCTCAACCCTCCGCCCCTTACAGAAAACGCTGCCTCTTGTCCAAAGAATGTGTCCTGTCTGCCAAAACACCCTCCCTAGTAACTGCCCCCCCACACTCAACACTCATCAGTCAGACCAAAGCCCCACAGTCGGAACAGCTCAGGTCCTCTTTAACTGCTGTTTCATTGCTCTTTTGTTGAGAAAGTTCTCGCTCTGTCTCTCTTTCCCTGTGCTCTCCTCAAACAATGGGGAGCGTTTCCTGGACAACCTGGCAGGGTGTCAGGTCTTTGACTAAGGGGGTTCTATTCTGGGCTGGGTTGACTGGTGATGGGTTGCCAGATCTTGTGCTGACGTTTTATATTGTGGTCTGGTCTGGGTTGGCAGAGCACAGTGCAAATGTAGGTCAGTCCAGCAGTATATCTGGCAACTAGTGGCAACCCTGAGACTGAGGCATAAAGGCCTCAGGCCTGTGCACAGACTCTGGCCGTTTTAGTATTTACAAAGGCCTATTGTAAAATTAGACTTTCTTTTTACATTTTAGTCATTTAGCAGACGCTCTTATCCAGAGCGACTTACAGTTAGTGAGTGCATACAATTTATTTGCTGTCTCTCTTAGTGAAGAAAATGTTGGTTGTTTTATTTGTCCAAGAATGTAGGCATTGGCTATCATAAAGAGTTCAAATGAGTTCTAGCCTACAGATGCATGAAGGTATTTGAGTTGATATTCTGTCAGGACTTTAGGCTGGCCACCTGTTGAACGTTGCCAGACAGAACTCTTGGAATAGAGTGCTCTAGGAGTAGTGTGTAGTCTGCTTAATCTGTATGTTGACTTGAACTCTTTATCAGGAATCAATTGTTTCAAATAGATGCATGAAGCTTTATTGTTTGTTGTGGTAAGCTGGCCTTGTCTGCTGAGTAGAGCCAGCTGTTTTTACTGACCACATGACCTGACCAAGAAAAACGCCTGTCCCTACTGATGAGACATTTTGCGTGCTTTGCGGTGGTAGACTGAGGGGAGTTGGTTAGTAGACGGGAGAAATGAGGTTTTTCACGTATCCACTTCACATTCATCTCTCTCACGCTTTGGCTCTTTGTTTTCTTTGGTGGAAAAGTAGGCCAAAGCTGCACACATTCCTCTCATGTCACTGCCCCACGCCAGAGAAAACAGGGACAATGCCCTACGCCCCAGATTCTGTGTGTGTCGGCGTGCACACGATTGTTTGATAGTGTGTGTGAGAGATGTTTGAAAGCTGTTTCATCTGATTTGATGAAAACCTGTAGGTCTAGAGAGGCTATAGGTTGACATACTACTGTTCTTTATATACTCTAAAGCACCTTCATCCAACTCTATGCCGTTTACAGCTTTGAAAGATACAAGTGGTGAAGTATTTTGTCCCAAGCACGCTAAAAACATTGTAATTGTAGGTTAACTGACGGAAATGTTTGCGGACTTGTTCTCTTGCCAAGAGTTTAGTGAGCTAAGCATTTGTATTGCAAAAACAACACTAGGCCTAACTGACGGAAATGTAGACTGCTTTCACTTTGGCATACTAGTAGTAGGCTACTGTTCCCGTTGTGTTATTTGACCTCTCCTGCATATAAAAAGTATTTGCCATATAAGCATGCAAGCTAAATCCACTCTTTCAACTGTATTGACGCTCTCCCTCTCCTTTATGTAACACTGACGTTCCTATGATTTTCCCCCTGTAGGACCGTAAGCTGTCCAAGTCGGAGCGCCAGCGGTTCAAGGAGGAGGCGGGCATGCTGAAGGGGCTGCAGCACCCCAACATCGTCCGCTTCTACGACTCCTGGGAGGCCCCTGTTAAAGGCAGGAAGTGCATTGTGCTGGTCACAGAACTCATGACCTCTGGAACACTCAAAACGTGAGTCTCACTCTCACACACAGACGTCAACACCAGTCCATCATCATGATTAAATTGTCGGTCCTAGGTACCCCAATCAGTGAAATGTGATGAGGATGGTTGTGCGATGTCAATCTTTAGCCCTATATCCCTCCTGTTTTGTAGGTATCTGAAGCGCTTCAAGGTCATGAAGATCAAGGTTCTGAGGAGCTGGTGTAGGCAGATCCTGAAGGGCCTACACTTCCTCCACACCAGGGCCCCTCCCATCATCCACAGGGACCTGAAGTGTGACAACATCTTCATCACGGGCCCCACAGGCTCCGTCAAGATAGGAGACCTGGGATTGGCCACACTCAAGAGGTCCTCTTTCGCCAAGAGTGTCATAGGTAAGACCCCAATATCACCCGCTACCTTTTACTGTGCCCTGCTTTCTTCCCCACTACACTCCAATGGGGGATGTCTTGTGTGTGTGTGTGGGGGGGTTAGGTTTTTATTTCTGATCTTTTTTTGACTGACAATGAGGTTGGAAAACAGACCACAATGTTTCAGCTCTCTATTCAAACCACAGCTCAAGTGGAGGCCAGGCCATGGGGAGACCCACAAACCCTCTCTTTACACACACTGTGTTATGTCAGCGAGTCCGCCAGGGCTGGTTACTCGGTGACACAATCCATTTGATTATCTTTTTCCTCCTCAAAGTGAAAGTTCACTGTTTCAGGCTCCTACTGAGAGTAAGTAGCGCCTCCAATTTCTCTGTCTCTCTGTGAAATATGAATCTCAATCCACCTGTCATGCCTTAACTGTTAGGCTAACCAGGCCAGGGCTACAGGTATGGCCTCTGGTTCTGTGTTCTTTCTCAGACTGGTCTTTGCTCTGTGGTTTGGAAATATGTGGTCTGTTTGCCAGTGATGCCAATAACGTTTGCCGTTTCTGTTTTTTGAAGGGTTTGCTCCTACAGGTTTTTGTCAGTGTTTCTCTGTCTTTTAAACAATTTCAGGAGCACAGAGAATAATGTCTGCTTCTTTTTCTGTCTGGAAAGCCCCCACCCCCTTCCCACTTTCCTCTTCTCCTTTATCAGCCTTTTTTTTTTTTTTTTCACACTCGGGTATGTTTTGAAACTGTAGGCTCTAGCCTCAGCTGTGCTCCATTCTGCAGTAAAGGAATAAATAGGGTACTTCTGGTCAGTGAGTATTTGCTGTTATGGGCCTGGTAAGTGTGCGAGTGCACTGTGACACACATCTTACAAAAACCAAATCATTTCAAATAACAATTAGAGTTTTTCTGTGTAAGACCATTAGAAGATTGAGAGCAGAGTATCTGCTATTTGAATAAGGCTGGTGTCCAGACATGCACTGTTTCACTAACTAGCTATGGGATCTGCTTCTCTCAGCCCTCACCGTAACACCTTACTCCCCAGGTCAAGGAGGACAGGTGAGTCAGACTACTCAAAGGTATGTTTGTATGAAACAGGTTATGTTTGAGTGTTTAGTTGTGAAATGTAAGGTCTTGACACAAGTTATTTCCATAGCTAGTCTTACTATTTGTGCCCCTTCTCTGCCGTTTTGAGGCCCCTGATCATTGGCGTTCAACTCAACTCACTAACCGGGTTCTGATTGGTAAACCGGGCCATTCTACAGCCTGTCAGTAGTTAAACTGACAGGTGTGTCTAACACCAGTTTGCCCCCCTCCCCCCCACAGTGTTTTAAGTATACCAGCCATCTTCTATAGACTCCCTATACAAGGTGTCACCCCACAGATAAGCAGGTCTTACACAGAGAAACTTGTGCCTCTTTCACTACGGTCTAACTGAGCCCGCCCCCCCCCCCCCCCCCCCTTTTTTTTTTTTTCTTCTCTCCTCCCCTCTCTCTATTTCTCTACTCTCTTCTCGCAGCTTCTGCTCACCCGGAGGCAGCGGTGGACCGGTCACTCTTCCTCCTCTTGGTTAGAGGAGAAGAGGGGCGTTTGGGGTGTGACACTCGGAGATGGAGACGAACACACAGAGAGACAGAGTTCTGAATGGTTGTATTTGATTTAAGGTACCCCTGAGTTCATGGCGCCTGAGATGTATGAGGAGAAGTACGACGAGTCAGTGGATGTGTATGCCTTTGGGATGTGCATGCTGGAGATGGCCACCTCAGAGTACCCATACTCCGAGTGCCAGAACGCTGCACAGATCTACCGCAGAGTCACCAGCGTAAGTCTCCCCTGCCTCAACCCCAATTCCCTGAAACCCTCTCCCTGTTGTCCTCGCTCTGCCACCCGCTCTCCTCCTCTTTCCAGTTCCCTCTTTACCTGCCCCTTCTCCTCCCTCCGTGCTTCCCCCGCCCTGCTGTTCTGTCCCTTTAGAGATGATCATTTATTTACCATTTGCATTATTGGCCTTTCTTTGCCACTCTCTCTCTTTTGTCTTTTTCTCACCACTCTTTGTCTTCGCTGTGAGCCCTCTTCCTCTCTCTGTCTCTCCATTACCTCTTTTCCCACCTCCCTCAATCCTGCAACCTACATTATTTTTCTCTTTCTATTGCACTTTTTCTCGTTCTTTCTCTTGTGTTGAGTGTGTCTGTCAGTTGAAGTGAGGAGTGTGGGATTGATTGGGGGGAGTGTCTGGACTGTCCTCTTATTCCCTTCTGGCTGATACTGTAACCGGGCCTGGGCTTGGATCCAAAGGAGGAACACGCGCACACACCTCAGCATAGATACTTGTCATGTGAATTTCTATCTCTAATTCAACCTAAGCTTGAATCATTACCAGAGGTTGTAAGGCTCTGGTTTTAATCATCAATGATTCAAGGTCCATAACCACGAAGAAGGATTTTTTGTATGTTTATTCATGGAGAGCTCTGGCGCCAAAGACACAAACATACGATTTTATACCTCCTGAACTTGACTCCTCCCACCTTTAGGTGACTTTTCTAAACAGTTTCCGCCTTCCCCTTCACCCTTGAATGTTTAGTACCGCCCCCTCTGTTAGTGGGTTGACACTACATGATAATTCTAACATTTATACTGTATTTGGGGTGAAATCCTTTAGTCATTATTCTTAAAATCCAAATTAATCTAACAATACTCCATGATTTATGGTTAAAAATGGGCCTTGAAGGTGAGCCTATTTTCTCACCAATCAGCGTTGCCATTCTAGTAATGTCTGCTGCCAGTTTCAGTGAGCACAGTTGATCATCAACTACATTGGGAGGTAGTAGGTACACCTTCTCGCATGTGCCTGTTCCTTCTATGAGCGCCACATGACACAGGTTACTTTTTACCTTAGCTAAACATTGTTAAACTCCCTTGATAAGTAACATGCATTCCAGGAATCAGTATATATACCAGACTTATTGCATTGAGGCCATCAGAAGTGTGCAACCTTATGACTGTCTATCAGCGCTTCAGATATCATATATGACAGTCTGCTGCTGTCTCTATAGACCTATCATCACTCGACACGTCACACATACATCCTCCGCTCCCTCCTCCATTTCTCCTTCACTCCTCTTTCACTGCATCACTCCTTCTCTTCTCCTTCCTCTCCCCTCATCAACCCTCTTTTCTGGAATCCATCCTCTCCCCAACTCCCAGCAACAACAGCACCAGCCCCTAGTCGTCAAAGTGTGGGAGTGTCAGCATAACTCCTGAGTTCACATGTAGACTTCTAGGTTAGTGGTCCTCAGCAGCACAGGCCCTGGGTATAGTGGGTTGCTGCTGAACCTTGCTCTGAGACGGGAATGCTGTAACTGGTGACTATGGAGCACGCCAGCTTGTAGTCTTAAAACCCGGAAATAAGTTACCTCTGGTTTGGTCAGCCATCCCTAAAGTCTGAGGTTAATACAGGCATAGGAGATCTTATACGGTTGTTCTAGGAGATAATACCAGTCAGTTAACATGACCTTTATGAATTATGAAGCCTTTAAGTGGTTTGTGTTTTTTATTATTACATACATTCTTAAAAGTTCACAAAACGTGACGTTAGCTGATGAAGATTATCTCATAGAACGCAACGTATAAGATCTCCTAAGCCTGTGTTTACCACAGACCTTATTTTTGGTGTTTATCCAAAACAGCTTCAAAAAAGCCATTCATTTTCCTCATAGGCTTTGTCCAACGAACCATGACTGCGTTAGTGCCAACAAAAAGATGCCATTACTATTTTGCTCCATTCCCCCTCAACAACTTTGTTTTCCCACAAGGAAGACTCAAGTAGATCACATTCAATTACATGAGTTTGAACATATAGCATGCGCTGCAGCCCAATACAGTGTTATACACTGTTCTAATATGGTACTGCTATGAGGCGACAGTGCAACGCCACAGAAGGCGCAGATATAAATATATTACAGAGAACAGACATACTTCTCTGTCATGTAGAATATGTAATAATTTCATCTCTGTACAATACATTTCTATCTGCAACCTTGGGCCCTACTTAACGCAACCCTGTCTAGAATCACGGAAACAGAATGTTGACAATGTGTGGGTTGTGACTGGGAGGTCTGTGTGTCTTATAGGGGGTGAAGCCAGCCAGCTTCGACAAGGTGGCCATCCCCGAGGTGAAGGAGATCATCGAGGGATGCATCCGACAGAACAAGGACGAGAGGTCAACTCACATTCACATTTTGATAATTTAGCAGACACTCTTATCCAATGTGATTTGAGCTTCATAACCAGCTATTGAGACACAGATACAGGGAGAGTATTCATACTCAACCACCCAGGACCTTCTCAAAATGAGATCAGTTTCAAAGTGTGTTAAAGATGTCTGTATTGATTTGACTCATCCGCTCTCCCTCTTCTGTTCTCTCTCACCCCCATCTCACTGTCTCCCAGGTACTCGATAAAGGACCTGCTGAACCATGCCTTCTTCCAGGAGGAGACGGGGGTGCGTGTGGAGCTGGCCGAGGAGGACGACGGGGAGATGGAGGCCATAAAGCTGTGGCTGAGGATAGAGGACGTCAAGAAGCTGAAGGGGAAGTACAAGGACAACGAGGCCATCGAGTTCTCCTTCGACCTCAGCAAGGACGTTCCTGAGGACGTGGCCCAGGAGATGGTGGGTGACAACACAATGTCCACTTCAGAGAGATATTGACTGTGTCCCAAATGGCACCCTGTTCCCTATATAGTGCATTCATTTTGACCAGGACACAATCTTTATTCTTCCTGATTATTTAGGAATCCTTGATTTACAAACATCATCTAGACTAAATAATAATAAATGTGAGTCAAGTCCTAACACTGCCTGTTCTGTGTGTGTGTGTTTGTTTGTCAGGTGGAGTCTGGCTACGTGTGTGAAGGGGACCATAAGACAATGGCTAAGGCCATCAAGGACAGAGTTTCCCTCATCAGCAGGAAAAGAGAGCAGAGGCAACAGGTCTGTACCGGCTCAATGGAATCTTTGATTTGAATCCTGGATGAATGTAAAGTTTTATGGTATTGCAATCAAATGAATTAAACGAAGCTAAACTAGATGTGATTTGGATTTAAGGTGAGAGAGGAGCAGGAGAAGAGGAGGCTGGAGGAGGAGCAGGGCCAACAACAACAACAACAGCAGCAACAACTACTGCAGCAGCAGGGCCAACCTCAACCAGGGCTCCAGCCCAGCACAGAGGGCCCCCAACCAGCCCAGCCCGTCCCTCAGGCAGCCCCCTACATCCCCCCCACCCAGCAGCCAGCCCAGCCCATGGCACCCTACATCCCCCCTCAGACAGCACAGCTGGGGCCACAGGGGGTTCCCTATATACCCCAGTGTACAGGGCAGATCCCAGTCTCTGTCCCAGTATTGGCCCAGGTTCCAGTTCAGGTTTCAGTCCAGCCAGAGTCAGAGAGGCCAGAGGTGGACCAGTACCCACAGCAGACTGAGACCGGTCTGTACCTTCTGCCTTTTTGCTCTCAGGGCGCTGTATTATTGACCTACATTATAGTCTTAATCTAGTGTTTATAAACTATCAATTGACAAACCATCTCCCCATTCTCTACCCCTCCCTATTTCAGCCAATCAAATGACAGATAGTGCTCAGGGTTCCTCCGTCCTTCATGAGACGCACCCGGTTCAGCCGGTGATGTCATACAGCTCTCTTCCCAGTCAGCAGCTTCAGCCAGAGGCCCCCTCTCCTGTCCAAACAGACCAATCGCGTCAGCCACAGCAGACCATGGTGAGTCATTATCGTGGCACACGCAATGCATTTAATATGTTCTCACAGTAAAAGTACCCAACTCTTGTCTCTGCATGTATCATAGAGAAAGTCCGATGTAGTTTCTATCTCATTCTCTCTCCTCCTCCGTCTGTCCTGTTTGTCAGGTGGTTCCTGCTGCCCAGCATGCCATTGTTGTCCCTGGGGCTCCAAGCTCCCAGCCTGCCCCTGGGGCTCCACAACAGGTACACGTCTCCATCACAATACAACTTCACCACCACAACACTGCTGTTCCTCAGCTGATCACACCTAGTTCATAGATCAAAACACTGAATAGATCTAGATCAGAGGTTTCTCTGGGCTCTTACCAAAAGGCCAAATGGGCATGTTGTTGAAAACATTGGTGGACCCTCCCAGCTCTCTCTCTCTCTCCCTCTTTCTTTCGGTTTCTTTGTGCGTTCCTTTTGGTTGTCAGTTGTTTTTCTTTCTTCCTATGCTTTTGTATCCCTCTCTCCTTATATTTTCCTATTTCCTTCCTCTGTTCTGTCTCTCTCCTCTCCCTCTTACCCTTTGTTGTATTTTGTTTCTTATTATAGTACGGAGGTTACTTCCACCCATCGCTCTCCCCTCAGGTAGATAAAAACCGTCCCTTGCAAACGCACACCTCTTCCCTCTACTCTCATACCCACAGCCTTTCTCTAAACATATACTGTTTATATGGTATCCCTATACTGTTTCTATGGTATCCCTATACTATTTCTATGCTGTCCTTCTGCTATTTGAGTAGTGTGTGTGTGTACTGTATAATCCATGCAGTAAAACCTATACTGAAGCTATATGAGACTGATTTATAGTATTGGTATGTGATGCAGTAGGTAAGTGCCTGGGGGAGTTGGATGAGAGCTAGTGTAAAACTGAGGTGGTTAGGCCTCTGGGTGAGGGATGGTGGGTTTGTTTGAAGAGCAGTGTGTTGGTGAATAGATAATGAAGAGAGAGTCTTGTCTCTCTTCTCTGCAGATATGGCTGTTCGATTTGTGCAGATCTCTTATCGCTGTCTCTCCCCCCACCCCCTGTAGATGCCCCCCCAGCAGGTGGCGTTGCTCCCCTCCTCTCAGCCCATCCCTCCCCTGCACCTCCAGCAGCCACAGCCAGAGAGCAGCGATGCACCTCAGAGCTCAGCACTACCACCTCTCCAGCCTGGAGACCAGCAAATACAGGTGAGGCACTCACACCAACACATTGGTCAAGTGCACAACAACCCCAGCTTACGCTCATACTAACGCTAAAACACTCAGACAATCTACAAACAAGGACACTGAATGTATTCCATCTAGTAAATGTTTTATCACGCATGTACAGTCTCGTCATTCCTTTCTCTTTTCTATTCTTTCCCTCTTCTTTTTTTCTTCTTCTGCTTTTTGACTAACTGCTCTGTGTCGGCCTCTACTCTTTCATCCACTCTTTCTTTCATGCGTTCCTTTTGCATGCTGCTGCTTTTTCCTGCATGGCTGTCAGTCATGGGCCAATGAACCAAGCCCTCCTATCCTGTCTCCTCCAATCAATGCAGAGTACCTCTACTTCCTCTATCAGGCCACAAACGTCTCTGTGCTGCAGGTACACACAGGCCAGGGGCAACGTGTGTGTGTGTGTGTGTGATTAGTGTTAGTTGTTAGGCTTGACATGTGTTAGTAGTATAAGGAGCCTACAAACAGACACATCATGTCCTACGAGAAGTAAAACCTTGTACTTCCTGTTCACCCCGCTACCATTTAGAAGGCGGAGACGGTACAGGTGCATCAAAGCTGGGACCGAGAGACTGAGAAACAGCTTCTATCGCCAGGCCATCAGACTGTTAGACAGTCACCACTAGCTGACCTCCACCCAGTACCTTGCCCTGAACCTTAGAGACTGCTGCCCTATGTACATAGTCATTGAACACTGGTCACTTTTAATAATGTTTACATACTGTTTTACCCACTTCATATGTATATACTAGTGGTCAAGATCACTTTCTGAGTCAAAATGCAAGCCGATATCCACCGCTCAGATTTTCTTTAAACATTATTTCAAAAACGTAAACCCATGCAGCATAATGAGGTTTGTGCAGTAGGCGATAGGTCCAATACATTATCACTGCATATTGGCTATGCTTGAATTGCCCTGCCAAAATAAATTATATTTTAAACCATTTGGTATATGATCACACTGGTAATAGATCATTTGTTTTATTACAGCGGAGTGAGCGTAATAGCCCTATTGATGGCCTGCATCTGATGGTCAGTCTGAGGGGAGGGAGAGAGCAGCGGTGAGGCTGCCTCTCACCTGACTCACCGTTCATCTGCTCTCTCTCCCTCGGCTGAGAAAAGGGGACACAGTCTTTCAGCTGATGGTGAAACTCTAGTCGCACTGCATTGATTTCTGCCTCATGCACCAATTCATGTTGTTACTCCTATGACCAGAGAGTGAAATATTCCTCTATTAAAAGACACAAGCCGTTAATAATGCAAGCTTATCGGAACACTTTGCTATACTCATTCATTGCAGCTGCAGTTGCTGGTTGTAGCGTGAGTGGAAGTAGGGAGAACGCACATTTTATGGCTTATAAAGGTGTTGAACAAAGTTTTGAAATCTCACAGTATCAACTTTGCTGGGTGTTCAAGGTTTATTTACAGTCTATGGCTCGAGGAAACTGTGCAGACAGTGATCTGATTGGCCAGCGGTAGGCCTATAGGGGCCCTTGATTTGCTCTCTGGGCCTGCCGGCTAGGCAGAGTTCTATCTTCAGACAGGTGAAATGGGACAAAACACTTTGCCTTCCCGGCGCTAGGGCTGCTGAATCAAGTGCACCTACCGCCAACAGCGAAAATAAATACAAATAAATATAGGAGCGCAAGGCTTTATCATTGGGTTTTTTACAGAAATGTTTGGTGATCAACTAGGAATGTCTTGGAGATCGATCAGTCTATTGCGATGGACCGGTTGGTGACCACTGGTATAATACTATATTCTAGTAATGGCTAATCCTATATAACTACTGCTGTACACACCTTTTCTATTAATATACTGTCCATACTGTCTTTACACATCATTATATGTATATACAGCTGTGGAAAAAATTAAGAGACCACTGGAAAATTATCAGTTTCTCTGGTTTTACTATTTAAAGGTATGTGTTTGGTTAAAAATTACATTTTTGTTTTATTCTATAAACTACTGACAACATTTCTCCCAAATTCCAAATAAAAATATTGTCATTTAGAGCATTTATTTGCAGAAAATGACAACTGGTCAAAATAACAAAAAAAGATGCAGTGTTGTCAGACCTCAAATAATGCAAAGAAAATAAGTTCATGTTCATTTTTAAACAACACAATACTAATGTTTTAACTTAGGACGAGTTGAGAAATCAATATTTGGTGGAATAACCCTGATTTTCAATCACAGCTTTCATGCGTCTTGGCATGCTCTCAACCAGTCTTTCACATTGATGTTGGGTGACTTTATGCCACTCCTGGCGCAAAAATTCAAGCAGCTCGGCTTTGTTTGATGGCTTGTGACATCCATCTTCCTCTTGATCACATTCCAGAAGTTTTCAATGGGGTTCAGGTCTGGAGATTGGGCTGGCCATGACAGGGTCTTGATCTGGTGGTCCTCCATCCACACCTTGATTGACCTGGCTGTGTGGCATGGTGCATTGTCCTACTGGAAAAACCAATCCTCAGAGTTGGGGAACAATGTCAGAGCAAAAGGTTTTCTTCCAGGACAACCTTGTACTTTTGCAAACCTCAGCCTGGCTCTTCTTTGCTTCTCATTGATGAACGGCTTTTTTCTAGCTTTGCACGACTTCAGCCCTGCCCCTAGGAGCCTGTTTCGAACCGTTCTCGCTGTGTACTTCACCTCAGCTGCCGTTTGCCATTCTTTTTGTAGGTCACTTGATGTCATCCTACGGTTGTTAAGTGACATTCAAATGAGTTGGCGGTCATCCCGGTCAGTGGAGTCGTTTTCTCCCTCTGCCTGTCTAGCTTTGTTGTCCCCAATGTCTGCTGCTTGACCTTGTTCTTATGAACCGCCATCTTTGAAATTTTAAGGATGGAAGCAACCTGACGCTCACTGTATCCCTCTGCCAGTAAAGCCAGAATTGAACCCTTCTTTTCCTCACTCCAAAACTTTCCTTTTCAACTCTTTTGGCATGGTCAATAGTTTTTTTTTTGTGATTAATATTACTTTTGAGGTACTATTAGCACTGTTTTTGCCATCCAGCTGGTCCTATTGCAAGAGGATAGTGATGACCACAGCAGTGGTTTTTATACTTTTCCTCGTTAAATGAGATTTGGTTCAGGTGATCACCTAATCAGTACCTAATTCAGTAGAATGAGGTGTGCCTGTGTTGGAATTCAACAGACACTAGAATCGAATGGCTGTCATACATGTAGAGATGCTGATTTAAGAAACATTTGCAGTGGTCTCTTAATTTTTTCCACAGCTGTATTATATATAGTTGAAGTCTGAAGTTTACATACACCTTAGCCAGATACATTTAAACTCAGTTTTTCACAATTCCTGACATTTAATCCTAGTAAAGATTCCCTGTCTTAGGTCAGTTAGGATCACCACTTTATTTTAAGAATGTGAAATGTCAGAACAATAGTAGAGTGATTTATTTAAGCTTTCATCACATTCCCAGTGGGTCAGAAGTTGACATACACTCAATTACTATTTGGTAGCATTGCCTTTAAATTGTTTAACTTGGGTCAAACATTTCGGGTAGCCTTCCACAAGCTTCCCACAATAAGTTGGGTGAATTTTGGCCCATTCCTCCTGACAGAGCTGGTGTAACTGAGTCAGGTTTGTAGGCCTCCTTGCTCTAACACGCTTTTTCAGTTCTGCCCACACATTTTCTATAGGATTGAGGTCAGGGCATTGTGATGGCCACTCCAATACCTTGACTTTGTTGTCCATTTTGCCTCAACTTTGGAAGTATGCTTGGGGTCATTGTCCATTTGGAAGACCCATTTGCAACCAAGCTTTAACTTCCTGTGATGCCTTGAGATTCAATATATCCACATAATTATCCTTCCTCATGATGCCATCTATTTTGTGAAGTGCACCAGTCCTTCCTGCAGCAAAGCACCCCCACAGCATGATGCTGCCACCCCGTGCTTCACGGTTGGGATGGTGTTCTTCGGCTTGCAATCCTTGCCCTTTTTCCTCCAAACATAACGATGGTCATTATGGCCAAACAGTTATATTTTTGTTTCATCAGACCAGAGGACATTTCTCCAAAAAGAATGATCTTTGTCCCCATGTGCAGTTGCAAACCGTAGTCTGGCTTTTTTATGGCAGTTTTGGAGCAGTGGCTTCTTCCTTGCTGAGCGGCCTTTCGGGTTATGTCGAGATATAGGACTTGTTTTACTGTGGATATAGATACTTTTGTACCTGTTTCCTCCAGCATCTTCACAAGGGCCTTTGCTGTTTTTCTGGAATTGATTTGCACTTTTCGCACCAAAGTACGTTCATCTCTAGGAAACTGAACGCGTCTCCTTCCTGAGCGGTATGACGGCTGCATGGTCCCATGTTGTTTATACTTGCGTACTATTGTTTGTACAGATGAACGTGGTACCTTCAGCCGTTTGGAAATTGCTCCCAAGGATGAACCAGACTTTTTTTTTTTCCTGAGGTCTTGGCTGATTTCTTTTGATTTTCCCATGATGTCAAGCAAAGAGGCACTGAGTTTGAGGGTAGGCCTTGAAATACATCCACAGGTACACCTCCAATTGACTCAAATGATGTCAATTAGCCTATCAGAAGCTTCTAACGCCATGACATCATTTTCTGGAATATTCCAAGCTGTTTAAAGGCACAGTCAACTTAGTTTATGTAAACTTCTGACCCACTGGAATTGTGATAGTGAATTATAAGTGAAGTAATCTGTCTGTAAACAATTGTTGGAAAAATGACTTGTGTAATGCACAAAGTAGATGTCCTAACCGACTTGCCCAAACTATAGTTTGTTAACAAGACATTTGTGGAGTGGTTGAAAAACGAGTTTTAATGACTCCAACCTAAGTGTATGTAAACTTCCGAGTACAGCTGATATATATATATATATATTTTTTTAATCTGGATGATGTGTGTGTTGTGTTTTTCTAAATTATTGTTAGGTATTACTGCACTGTTGGAGCTAGAAACACAAGCATTTCGCTGCACCTGCTATAACATCTGAAAATCTTTGCCAGCGAACAAACTTTGAGTTGATTTCATTGTGTTTGTGGTCAAAGCACTGCTAATACCTCGGTCAGATCACACACCCTTTAGTGCTTAAGGTGAAGCCAGATCCAGCCCTTGCTTTCATGCCTGACATGACATGGTTGTAAAGCTCCTTTAATGAACAGTGTGTGTGTGATGATGTTTCAGGCCTCTGTGAGTGTATCCCAGCCGGCGCCAGCAGAGCAGGCAGTAGGACCGACAACGCTGGTCCCTCAGTCTGTGGAGAGGTAAGGCATCACATCTCTCCACAACAGCCCTAGACCTAGCTTATACCAGATAGCCTTTTCTGTTACTCAATATGTTCTATGAAAAATGCATCTTAATATGAAACGGCCCTGTGTTCATTGTGATGTCCTCCTAGTAATTGCTAAATGTCTCTATCCCTCCTCTCTCTCCCTCTCCCCCCACCTCTCTCTCCATCTCCATCTCCCAGTTGTCTGTTGGACACGGCGTCAGGTCTGAGTGACGGCTATGAAGGGGCGTCGGGTGGTAGACACGAGGGGCGCTCCATGATCAAGCGGCACCAGCGGCGCTCCGTACGCAGCCGCTCTCGTCATGAGAAGACCGCCAAGGCCAAGCTCAACGTCCTCAATGTAAGAGTCACATGGTCACTTTCACCTCAACTCACTGTCTGTATTCTCCCACATGGCAACTCTATCTCCTCGGCCCCTTTGTTGGCCAAATTTGTTGGCCTCTCATCCCCTCGCTGTGTCTACAGATGTCGAGTTGTACACTGAACACAAATATAAACGCAACATGTGAAGTGTTGGTTTCATGAACTGAAATAAAACATACCAGAAATGTTCCATACGCACAAAAAGCTTGTTTCTCTCAAATGTTGTGTGCAAATTTGTTTACACCCCTGTTAGTGAGCATTTCTCATTTGTAAAGATAATCCATCCACCTGACAGGTGTGGCATATTAAGAAGCTGATTAAACAGCATGATCATTACACAGGTGCACCTTGTGCTGGGGACAATGAAAGGCCACTCTAAAATGTGCAGTTTTGTCACACAACACAATGCCACAGATTACATTTACATTTTAGTCATTTAGCAGATGCTCTTATCCAGAGCGACTTAGTGAGTGCATACAGTTTTTCATACTGCCCCCCCCCCCCCCCCCCCCCCGGGAATCGAACCCACAACCCTGGCAGTGCCATGCTCTACCAACTGAGCTACTGGAGACCTACAGATGTCTCTAGTTTTGAGGGAGCGTGCCGTTGTCATGCTGACTGCAGGAATGCTCACCAGAGCGGTTGCCAGATAATTTAATGTTAATTTTAGAGAATTTGGCAGTACGTCCAACCAGCCTCACAACCGCAGACCATGTGCATGGCGTTGTGTGGGCGAGCGGTGTGCTGATGTCAAATCAAATTTTATTTGCCACATGCGCCGAATACATCAGGTGTAGACCTTACAGTGAAATGCTTACTTACAAGCCCTTAACCAACAATGCGGTTTTAAGATGAGTAACTTACTTAGACTAAAAATAGATAAGTAAAAAAATAACTAATTAAAGAGCAGCAGTAAAATAAAATAACAGTAGGCCTTGAAATACATCCACAGGTACACCTCCAATTGACTCAAATGATGTCAATTAGCCTATCAGAAGCTTCTAAAGCCATGACATTATTTTCTGGAACTTTCCAAGCTGTTTAAAGGCACAGTCAACTTAGTGTATGTAAACTTCTGACCCACTGGAATTGTGATACAGTGAATTATAAGTGAAATAATCTGTCTGTAAACAATTGTTGGAAAAATTACTTGTGTCATGCACAAAGTAGATGTCCTAACCGACTTGCCAAAACTATAGTTTGTTAACAAGAAATTTGTGGAGTGGTTGAAAAACTGGTTTTAATGACTCCAACCTAAGTGTATGTAAACTTCCGACTTCAACTGTAGGTAGGGGTAAAGTGTCAATGCAAATAGTCCGGGTAGCCATTTTTTTAATTGTTCAGCAGGCTTATGGCTTGGGGTAGAAGCTGTTATGGAGCCTTTTGGTCCTAGACTTGGCGCTCCGGTACCTCTTGCCGTGCGGTAGCAGAGAGAACAGTCTATGACTTTGGTGGCTGGAAGCTGTTCAAGTGTATCTCAGTTGGTAGAGCATGGCTCTTGCAGTGCCAGGGTTGTGGGTTCGATTTAAAATGTATGCACTCACTACTGTAAGTCACTCTGGATAAGAGCGTCTGCTAAATGTCAAATGTGGCTGGAGTCTTTGACAATTTTTTGGGCCTATCTCTGACACCGCCTAGTATAGAGGTCCTGGATGGCAGGAAGCATGAACTTATCTCTGTGTGTCTGTTTCAGATCTCCAACATGGGAGACCGGGTGGCAGAGTGCCAGCTGGAGACCCACAACAGGAAGATGGTCACCTTTAAGTTTGACCTGGATGGAGATAACCCAGAGGAGATTGCACAGATCATGGTAGTGATAGCAAACTCAAAAGCACCGATCTGGATTGTATTGATCTCGATCAAATGTGTTTCCCCAAGGCGCTGTAGTCAAAAGTAAAGGAATTTGATATTTTATTTTGGTAGCTCTACAGGTCTATGTGGATTTAATGGGCATGATTTGTGGGTATTGTAGTTCAATATCTGTCCTTCTCTCAGGTGCAGAGTGAGTTTATCCTGGAGAGTGAACGCGAGTCGTTCATCGAGCAGGTCCGTGAGGTCATCGAAATGGCTGACGATAGAGAGGGCATGAAGGAAGGCTACGCTCAACCACCCTTCACTCAGGTAACATACTTCAACAGTACACAGCAACACTTCATCCTTCACCTCACTACCGTACCCACCCACTAACTCTTGGGCAGCCTTTAGTTGACATGGTGTTGTCCTTCTCTCTCCACAGATTGTGGTGGATGACCCCTCACAGCAGCCTGACATGCCCACTCATCTGCCTGGTAAACACGCACCTACACATCACGATCTCTACTGAAAGATGATTGTCTGAGCTCCACCTCCTCACCTCTAACCCATTGCCCCCCAGGTGTTCCTCCCAGCGTTGCAGCTCAGGTGGTCCACTCTGCAGGCCGGAGGTTCATCGTCAGCCCTGTCCCAGAGTCCCGTCTGAGGGAGCAGTTCTTCGGCCCTCCCTCTGCTAATACCTCGTTTGGGGATGAGCCCCCTCAAGGTGAGGGAAACTGGAATCTATGGGTCATTGAGTGCAACTAGAACTCATGTTCCAAACATGTGCCCCTCTTCCAACCTTGGAATATTTGAGAACTCTAAAACATGTTCCTTGATGCATATACCAACGTTAGTATGTTTGAAGTCATGATGATAACCTGTACACTTACAAGAAGTAATTTATGTAAGTGACTCTTCTCTCTGTGTTCCTCCCTTCAGTCCCAGTGAGTCTGGGTCTGTCCCTGTCTGCTCCCTCAGGCCGCCTCCAGCAGGACTTCACTGAGATGAGGCAGACGCATGGGGAGAGACGAGCCACCATGGACCACCCAGCCGAGCCAGACCCCAGCATAGTCCCCTCCTCCCTGCGCCCAGCCTCCCCTCTCTCCCACCCTCACCAAACCTTGGCTCCCCCAGAGGCTACAGCCCCCACCAACACCAGCTTCTCCACCCTGCCTCCTGTCTCTGGCATCCCCACTGAGTCCTCCACTTTTCCCCCCTCCACATGCCAAGTTGCCACCGGGAGGGTGTCTCCAACCCCAGTTCCAGCCCCTGCACCTGCTACCACTGATCCTACCCCACACCCCCAGCCTGGCTACCAAGCCGCCCCCTCTCAGCCTACCCCTGCCCCAATCACATCCCCTCCCCAGGCCACCCCGGCCTCTCTCCCCCCAGCTGCTGCCCCTCAGCTGGGCAGCAGCTCTGCCCCTTTCCCCCCTGTCTCTGGAGCTCCACCCAGTAACTCTGGGACTGTGACCAGCTCAGAGCAGAACCCTGCAGCTAATCTTGTTCCTATTCCGTCCTCTCAGCCTATCCCTGAGTCCATACCTGTCACTCAGCCCACCTCCTCCCAGTCTCAGCCTATCCCTGCCTCTGTCCCTGTGGCACAGCCTGCAATGGCCCCCACCCAACTTCCACCCTCTACCCTGCCCTCCCAACCGTCCCAGCCAGGGGACCCAGATGGTGGAGAGTCCCAGTCCAAGGTCCCTGGTATAGATGACATCCATGCCCTGGATAAGAAGCTGCGCTCCCTCTTTAAGGACACATCCTCCGCTGACACTGGCAACAATGAGACCACCTCTCCCCCGACAGGGACCATCTCCCCTCCCCCCGGGGCGGCCCTGGTGCCCCCCTCCAACCTGTCTCTCACTGCCGGGGGACAGGGAGCCCAGGGCCCCACCTCGACCCCAGGACAGGGCCTCACACCAGTGGGACATGCACAGACACCTCCAGCCAAGACTGGTCAAGCCACCAGTGCACAGGTACAATGGAGGAAACTCTATGATTGTCTAGTGACTGAGAAGATACAGTATTTGTACTAAATGCTTTTCCCCCTCAACTCTTTCCTCAGTTGTAACTTGAGTATGATTTTCTCCCACCATGATGATAATAATTACATCTTCCTGTGTGTGTGTCAGGTGTATCCTGATGGCTCCGAGCAGGCAGGCACCCCTACCTCCGAGCAACTGCCTCCATTCCCAGGACCAAACCAGGTTAGTCCTCTTGTCAGAACTTGTCCCGTTGTAAGTTGTGTAAAGTTGTGAGTTTTGTAGATGTGTGGAATAGGTGATTATTTACGATCGTTGTGATCTTTGAGTTGTGGTTGTTGTGTCATCTTATCTATATTAGTTGTTAGGTATGAGTCCTGATAGTTGTGTGAGTAGTGGTGAGTTATTTTGAGTGGTACTTTCTGAGTGAGTTGTTTTGGTATATTTGTTACTGACATGTCTCGTTTGTGTGTGTGTCCAATCCCAGCAGCCTGTGGGTAGTCTGGACAGCCAGCTGAGGAGAGCTCTGAGCCCAGAGACCATCTCAGGGAGCAGTGGGGCAGCCCCGCCCTCCACAAGGGTCGTTAAACTGGGACGCTTCCAGGTCTCCGTTGCAGCAGACAGTAGCGCCGGCAGCACTCCTGACCCCTCCAACATCGCCTCCTCTTCCTCTCTCACCCCCTCCTCATCCTCCTCTTCTTCCTCCTCTTCCTCTTCCTCCCTCTCCAGCCCGGAGAACACCCTCCACCGCTCCTCCTCCCTCCTCTCCAAAGGGGTCCGGAGAGGAGACTCCGTAGATGCGCTCTCTTCTGTCGCAACACAGCCCACCACCATCGGACGCTTCCTGGTGTCTACCAGTGCCAGCACTGGCCCCAGCCCTAACTCTGTCTCGAAGGTGGGCCGTTTCTCAGTGATGCCAGCCACAGCGAATCCCACGGCCCCTTCGGGGTCTAGCCCCTCCCATCAGAACGGCCCTTCCTCTTTGACCTCTGACCCCTGTAGCTCCGTCCCCGGCGTGAACAGTGGTTCATTTAACCATTACATGACCAGCGACAACGAGGATGACTCGGGGCCTGAGGACGAGGCCTTCCAGAGGGAAGTCAGCTGCCTCCGAGAGAAGTATGTTACATCAAATCAATTTATTTGTCACGTGCCGAATACAACAGGTGTAGACCTTAAAGTGAAATGCTTACAAGCCCTTAACCAATTGATATGACGTGTTTTCACAGTGTTGTAGGAACAAGGTTAAATCCATTAGATAGGTCACTCTTGGTGCCACAAGGTCTGAATGCCAAGGATTCCAGTATGTCGAGGGAGCTTACTGGTGTTTATCTTAGAATGATTGATAGATGGAATATCCTGCCTGGGGTACAGGGTGATACCATCAGGGTGGGGAGTGCCCACTGATGGTTACCAGATGTTGTTGAAGAAATATGTAACAGGGAATATAAGAAGTAAGATATTTTCTGTGTCCATCATTCGGATAGTAAGATGCAACCCACGTACAGCTTGCTATGTTGAATCCGGTACCGTATCTATTAAATACATTGTATCAACTCTCCATATAATTGTTTAAGTGTATTCTTGCATCCTGAATTACTTGATACCCGAGAAACTCATAACACCAACAATGCAGTTTTAAGAAAAATAAGTGTTAAGTAAAAAATTGATAAATAAAAAATTACAAATAATTAAAGAGCAGCAGTAAAATAACAGTAGCGAGGCTATATACAGGGGGTACCGGTACAGAGTCAATGTGCGGGGGCAAAGGTTAGTCGAGGTAATTGAGGTAATATGTACATGTGGGTAGAGTTAAAGTGACTATGCATAGATAATAAACAGAGTAGCAGCAGCGTAAAAAGAGGGGGTGGGGGGGGACAATGCAAATAGTCCGGGTAGCCATTTGATGAGCTGTTCAGGAGTCTTATGGCTTGGGGGCAGAAGCTGTTAAGAAGCCTTTTGGACCTAGACTTGGCGCTCCGGTACTGCTTGCCGTGCGGTAGCAGAGAGAACAGTCTATGACTAGGGTGGCTGGAGTCTTTGGACATTTTTAGGGCCTTCCTCTGACACCGCCTGGTATAGAGGTCCTGGATGGCAGGAAGCTTGGCCCCAGTGATGTACTGGGCCGTACGCACTACCCTCTCTAGTGCCTTGCGGTCGGAGGCCGAGCAGTTGCCATACCAGGCGGTGATGCAACCAGTCAGGATGCTCTCAATGGTGAAGCTGTATAACATTTTGAGGATCTGAGGACCCATGCCAAGTCTTTTCAGTCTCCTGAGGGGGAATAGGCTTTGTTGTGCCCTCTTCCCGACTGTCTTGGTGTGTTTGGACCATGATAGTTTGTTGGTGATGTGGACACCAAGGAACTTGAATCTCTCAACCTGCTCCACTACAGCCCCGTCGATGAGAATGGGGGCGTGCTCGGTCCTCCTTTTCCTGTAGTCTACAATCATCTCCTTTGTCTTGATCACGTTGAGGGAGAGGTTGTTATCCTGGCACCACACTGCCAGGTCTCTGACGACCTCCCTATAGGCTCTGTCATCGTTGTCTGTGATCAGGCCTACCACTGTTGTGTCGTCGGCAAACTTAATGATGGTGTTGGAGTCGTGCTTGGCCATGCAGTCATGGGTGAACAGGGAGTACAGGAGGGGACTGAGCACGCACCCCTGAGGGGCCTCCGTGTTGAGGATCAGCGTGGCAGATGTGTTGTTACCTACCCTTACCACATTGGGGCGACCCTTCAGGAAGTCCAGGATCCAGTTGCAGAGGGAGGTGTTTAGTCCCAGGATCCTTAGCTTAGTGATGAGCTTTGAGGGCACTATGGTGTTGAATGCTGAGCTGTAGTCAATGAATAGCATTCTCACGTAGGTGTTCCTCTTGTCCAGGTGGGAAATGGCAGTGTGGAGTGCAATATAGATTGTATCATCTGTGGATCTGTTGGGGCGGTATGCAAATTGTAGTGGGTCTAGGGTTTCTAGGATAATGGTGTTGATGTGAGCCATGACCAGCACTTCATGGCTACAGACGTGAGCGCTACGGGTCGGTAGTCATTTAGGCAGGTTACCTTAGTGTTCTTGGGCACAGGGACTATGGTGGTCTGCTTGAAACATGTTGGTATTACAGACTCAGTCAGGGACAGGTTGAAGATGTCAGTGAAGACACTTGCCAGCTGGTCAGCGCATAATATAATAATAAATATAATATATAATATAATATGCCATTTAGCAGACGCTTTTATCCAAAGCGACTTACAGTCATGCGTGCATACATTTTTGTGTATGGGTGGTCCCGGGGATCGAACCCACTACCTTGGCGTTACAAGCGCCGTGCTCTACCAGCTGAGCTACAGAGGACGCATGCTCGGAGTACACGTCCTGGTAATCCGTCTGGCCCTGTGGCCTTGTGAATGTTGACCTGTTGAAAGGTCTTACTCACATCGGCTACGGAGAGCGTGATCACACAGTCGTCCGGAACAGCTGATGTTCTCATGCATGCTTCAGTGTTGCTTGCCTCGAAGCGAGCATAGAAGTAATTTAGCTCGTCTGGTTGGCTCGTGTCATTGGGAAGCTCGCGGCTGTGCTTCCCTTTGTAGTCAGTAATAGTTTGCAAGCCTTGTCACATCCAACGAGTGTCGGAGCCGGTGTAGTACGATTCAATCATAGTCCTGTATTGACGCTTTGCCTGTTTGATGGTTCGTCGGAGAGCATAGCGGGATTTCTTACAAGCGTACCGGTTAGAGTCCCGCTTAACCAGTTTGTTTGCTGTTTTGGGCTCTATTTCCCTTTATATTTTTTAATCTCAATGGGATCACTTGCATAAGTAAAGGATAAAAGGAGAGTGGTGACTGTTGTACTGTATTTCTTGTTACAACTAGGGATGTGATGGTCATGGAATTTTGGATGACTGCAATTGGCCAGCCAAATGACGAGGTCTCTGTAATAACCGTTAGAATAGCAAACAAATTAATGTTTGCGCCAACAACTTGCTTGTTTCAGCAAGGAGCAACACAGTTTCATCACATTAAGAGTCCATGTTACAGCAGAAACAGACTCAAAGGCATGAATGCCCCCGGCCATCCCGTCTTCAGTCAGCTGTTCGTTGCCACAACAAACAAACAAAACGTTAACTGTTATGACGGTTATTTTATTTTCATGACACTTCATCCATAACCGTCAGTTACGCAGTAATTGTGCCAGCCCTAGTTACAACCCTGCCTCACACTCTGCCCTCCCCTTCTCCTCCCCTTCTCCTCCCCTTCTCCTCCCCTTCTCCTCCCCTCCACAGACATATGATAGAGATCCAGACCCTCCACTCACGTCAGAAGGAGGAGATAGATGCTCTGTTCACCAGGCTGGGTAAACCACCTCCTTCAGCTGTCCTTTCCCCCGCTATGGCAGGGGGCCGACGCAGGCCCAAGACCAAGGCCAGCAAATCAGCCCGCAGCAGCGCCCAGGCCAGCCCAATGCACTCGGGTAACCAGCGTTATGATTGGTCTGTCTGTGCACTGCTGAATGGAAATGTACACGACTGCAAGCAACAACTAATTAGTCGATATTAAAGGGTAGAGGCTGCTAGATTAGAAAGTGTAAATGTAATGTGATCAGTTTCTCTCCTCTCAACTCTGGTTGATGTTGGTGTGTGTTTAGGAGCCCCAGTCACAGGCCAGAGCCCCCCAGCGTCCCCCCCTAAGCAGACCTCTCCCCCCACTGCAGGGGTCTCTGAGTCAGGCAGCCGGACTTCCACCATGGGTAAGCACAAAGAGCCGCTCTCCTATTGTCTATGCTCCTTCACTAAATGTTTTAGAAAGGCAAACCCAAGCAATATTCCTCAAACCAAGAGATGACTCTCCAGAAGAGAAGCCAAACTTGATTGAGAAATTAGTTGGCTTCCCAGGTTGAACTCGTCTCTGTGTTCCTTCCAGGAGTGAGTGGGACCAGTTCAGACAGTGGAGCGAACACCAGCCACTCCCAGCCGTCAGGCCCAAACACAGCCACGGCCCTAACACAGAGCCGAAAGGGCACGTTCACAGACGACCTGCACCAGCTCGTTGACAACTGGGCCCGAGACGCAATCAGCCTCTCCCAAGGCAAGAAAGGACCCAAGGGGACAGCCCAGGGACCCGGACATGACGTAAGGCCACACTACTCAGTCTAAAGACCAGTGCATCTCAATGTCAGTCTAATTCGTTTTTAGCTCCATTTTACATAATTTTACTTAATTACTTAATTGTGGTTTTGAACACCCTCTCCCTAACTACAGATCCCTCCACAAGCCAACATGAGCCGAAAGTTTTCTGCCCCCGGCCACCTCTGCCCCACCCTCCCCTCCACCACCTCTACCACCCTGGCAGGTGCCCACCTCCCCATCACCACTAACCCCTCCATCCCACTCTGCCAGCGTCAGGGCTCTCTGGGCCCCCCTCCCCAGGGGTTTGGTTACGGCCCAGCCCCCTACAGCGCCCCCCAGTGGGCAGGACCCTGTCAGGTGGGTCTCCTGGCCCCCACCCAGCCGCTGGCCCAGTACCAGCCCCAGGCCCCTTCCTCGGCCTCAGCCCCCCTTCAGCAGGCCTTCCACATGGGAGCCACCCAGAAACCTGTCAGCAACCCTGGAGGTCTCAACCTGAGGCCCACGTAGCCCAGCTTGCAGCCCTGGACCTGGGTTAGTCAGGCTGGGATGAGAGGGACTGAGGGCAGGGAGGAAGAGAGCCATAGGAGGACAACTACTATCTGACGTTTTGTTCTGTTTCGCTAATTGGTGAGGTGGAATAAAGAGGATAAAGTGAAAACGGAGGAGAGGAGACTGTGGTTCAGTCTTGTCAGACAGAGAGTGATGTCTGTCAGTTGGAGGGAGAGTGCAATACATACCCACAGCACACAATCACACCTTCACCCTTACCAGGGCCCAGTCTTTTCTGCCAATGGCTGTGGAATCGGGCTGTGATTGACATTTGGGTTTGTCCAATGAAAGCTATGGACCCAAGGGCACAACTGGCAACGGCCAAAGACGTCTGTTGAAAGCACCATTGTGATCTCATCATTCCCTTAAAGAGGAGGGTAGGGAGGGGGAACTCTTAATCACTTCTTGACTGTAACTGGCCTTAAGCTTAACTAGAACAGAGTTAGTAGATGGAGTGAAACCCTGCAAACACACATGCGCCTCCTAGCACTACTGTCATTGGCTGAGATTGAGGCGTTGAATGGTATGGGAAGCTTTCTTTCTGAGAAACTGATTAATTGTGGCGAACAAGTTTGTGAAAGGAAAGGAGAGAGCGATATGTAGAGAAGGAGAGAAGAGGTGGAATGAAAGAGAGTGAATGGAAGTTGGTTAGGTAGGGTTATAGTGGACAGTGTTTGTTTAGTGTTATTCATTTGGTCGCCATACAGTAAGATGCAGTAATAGCAATGTGAGGAAAGGAGTGAGCCCCCTGTGTAAGAGTGGCCTTAAACCCCCAAACACATGTACACATTGTCTTTGTATATATATATTTCTTGTCCTAAGTTATGGTTATTTTACTTTATCGGTCCCTCTGAGCTGGTGTGATGTGATGTTATGCCTGACTGGGTGTGTTAGTTTCTTATGAGACCACCTAACGTTAGTGTGAGCTAAGTAACTGACCTGTCTGTAGATAGTTTATCAATACCTACTTCACCTGTCTTGTCCAGGTTTTGGATTAAGCCTGAAGTGACTGTATCCATGAGTGATTTGGGTTTACGCCTTAGCAACTGGTTAGGCTCAGTGGTTTGAGTCATTGGCTTCAGCTACTGTGATCATTTGGTTTTCGACCTTAGCTACTGTGTCAGTCAGTTGTCTCGCACCTCACCACCTGGTGTACTGTAGTCAGACTGATAAGCAAGGCTATGGTCCTCGGTACAGTTCTGTTAGAAAGGTATTACATTCATAGGGTTATCTAGCGAGTGAACGGTGCATGATGTTCACACACAGACCTCTAAGCAATGTCAACAAAAATGTCTCCAACCTTATTTCCAGTTGTCGTCATCTTTCAGAATCATGACAAATTGTCTAGCGTTCTCTTTCTGTGGTTAGTTTTATGTGTATATTTTAAATAAAAATACAAAATATGTTCTTTATCGACCTGTTCAGCGATCAGATTTTGATGTTTCACAGTGATTATTAAATGTTGTTAAACAACGTAGTTAAATGAATATAAAAGAGCAATTGCAGGGTTATTAGTATTGTACTCTGTAACACAGGGGAGTAGTTATGTGCTTCTTCTGCTCTTATCATACACCACCCTGTCATTTCATCTTGTTTTTTATCTATACATACACGGTAAATGTTTCATATTAAATTATGCTTTCACATAATGCTCATCATCATAGAGTACTACGTGTCTTGCTGTAACCCACCCCCACATAGTACCAGTAAAAACGTACAGAACTCTTTAGTGCCTTGCATTCTCACTACTGAGAGAAATTCCACCATAATCACCTAGCCCTGCTGTTCTGATGGCTTAATGTCCAGTGACTGAAAGACCAGTTTACTACCAACCTGTGAGATCCATCAGAAATGTCATCAGACATTGGTAAATGTCTAATGTGTGGAGGTTGAGGAAGTTTAACATACCTAAACAAGTCAGTGTCAGAAGAGGCAGGTGACAGTCTTATTCCAACACAAGACTGACTAATTGAAAGCAGAGCACACTGGGTTGTATGAAGTCGAGTTATTTTCTGTCGTCACCAAAACAGCATGTGTTTGTGTGTATCCTATATTGGTTGTTGAAGGTAGATTTGGGTAAGATTTGTCCGTTAGTAGGTTCTCTGAATGAATGTAATCAGTACAGTATTGCATAGCAGCACTTATTTTAAGTGAAGGAGAACTAAACTGTTGTCTTGTTTTTTTTCCTCATTGGTACCATTCTCTTGCTTCTTTGTCACCTCACATGAATGGTGCCATTCCCCTCACTACAGTGCCCTTCTCACCTACCCAGTCCTGGATTGAACAACTACTTTCACTTCTCTAGAGAATATTAAATTACTGCAATGCAGAATATGCTATGTTTAAAGTTTTATAGGAACTGAGGGGGAATGGAGATGTTTGCATGCTGAGGAGGGTTGTTACTGACTTTACAAAAAGTGTTTTCGATATTTGGAAAACCGAGATCCTGCTTTTTTTCTTTTTTTTTGTTAATCTTTGCCTTCCTGTAAGTGAGTCCACACAAAGTGCCGATCTTTCAGTTGTCAATATATCAATATATCTGTGTTTCCTGAATTCTGCATGCTAACTGGTTTTAGCCCTTGGGCTTACTTACAACACAACCCACTGTACAGCACATGGTCACACAGAAGCTACTAGTCATCCTATTAACAGTAAATATGTTATTTATCCTCAAGTGGTTAAAATATTATCCCGGCAAAATACGGTCTCCTAAGGCTACTGACATATCACTAAGTTATTTAATGTTGTACCCTTGGATTCCTGTCCCTCTGGCTCTTCTTGTGACCAGTCTACTCTATGGTTTTGTGTATGTTTTTTCACATTGTACAAAATGTAAAAAAGATTAATAAAAATTGAACTGATCATTATGAGTGTCATCTTCTTGCAGCATGAATTGACATGTCCACCTAATCAAAGGATCAGATAATGAATCTAGTACTGAAAGCATAAGCTACAGCTAGCTAGCACTGCATAAAATGTGAGGAGTAGTTGACTCAGAGAAAGACAATAGTTTAACAGTTTTGAACAAATAAATTTCTTCCAAAAGAGGAGAAATGGAGAGATTCATTTTTTTTTTTTTTTTTACTTTGTTTCACTTACTTAGCTAGCAAATGCAGTTAGCTAGTTTAGCCTACTCAAACACCCTGCTCAAACAGGGATGCTATGTTAGCTAGCTGGCAATGACTATGCAACACAACACTGGAACTCTTGCATGGAAAGGTTTTTTTGCCTGGTCACATACAGCTGATGTGTTGTGCATTGAAGTCCACAAGCGAAGGGACAAGGTGAGAGGAGAGTGCATTGATGCTAGAAGGAATACAACGTGGCTGCTATGAAAGTGAACTGTGTTTACGCATGATCAGGGTTGTATTCATTCCGCCGATTCTGTTAAAATGTTTCTTAATGGGGATAAACATACCTGAATTTGTCCTATAGAAACTCTTGTTTGCAAATGTTGGACTAATGATTACAGCCTATATAAGCTAGATGCAGGCAAGAGTGTGCAAGGTGGTATTGAATGTGTCCCTGTCTGTCCATGTGTCACCTCAAAAATGTATCTCGACCTGTGTGCACCTACACTGTGAACTTTAATTCATAGGCTAGGTTGTAGCAACCTCAGTGTGTGAAGTCACTGTTATGGTGGTGAGGACAATCATTCCAATTGGACATTGAGTGGAAACCTTATTGCTGTTACATTGAACTGGGTGAATGGAATATGAGTGACAGTCATCCAATATGCCATAATAGAAATGCAGCCATGCTTATTAAATAAATATATAATCCTCCCTCATCTTAAACGGCACTGACTGCCACTGATTTCTGCCAATGAGGTTGGGGGGCTGTACTGGGGTTGGTGCCAGCCACCCATGACCTCGGCTGTGTGGTGGGGGTTCGTGGGTCGTGTTCCCCCTATGGTCATTCTACACCCTACATTCTATTGTCTCATTCACTTCTCTTTTTTGATTTGCACTGTTGGAGCTCGGAGCATTAGAATTGCACTGTACCCGTACCTTGCGATTACATCTGCGACCCTGTGCATGTGACTAATAAACTCATCTAATCTAGTTTAGCTAGCTAGCTAACAGTAACTATAGTGTACTCGTACTGGCTAGCAGGAGTTTTGGCAAGCATTTGCCGATGGAAACGGAGCTAGCTATGAGGTGACGCTTTACTATTCGACACAAACGTTGGGAAGTTCATAAATGTTCCGTAAATTACCTTGGAGTTTACAGCGTGTAGAGTTTAGCTAGCTAGTGAATTCTATCTACAAATATGATTTGCATTTCCCGCTTGCCTGGGTCGTAGTTTGAGTGGCGTGTCTCCTCGAAATTTACCCAGGTCACGCCCTTTGCTTTGTACATTGGTCGTAAACGGGTTCAGTGGATTTGTATTTGAAAGGATATTAGATTTGCGCAGTGATGCCCTAAATTAATCACCATCATAGCCGTATGTGTGAAAAACAAATAATAACCTCGGAAAAATATTTGTAATCGCCGTTTCTCTACCACAGTTGTGGCAAACCGTGCCCTGATTGACTGCACTGACAACCGCCACGATCATGTCATGATGTTCGTGTCATGACGATGTGACAGATGGCAGAGACGCGAGACCAACACTGGGTAATATTGGGGTCAATGCTGTATATAGAGCAGCATGTTTCTAAACTCCATTAGACAGGCCTTTATGAGGAGATAATGGTCATATTCAAAATGTGAATTACACATGACATCTAGGCTACATCTGGACAAAAGAATGTTGCCTTATAGCCCGCTGCCCCACAAAAGCTATTTCAAAAAGAAAATCGTGTAGTGCCTCTTTTATGTGTGTGTGTTAGTGTGTGTGTGTGTGTGGACGTGTTTAACTATACTTTTGGGGACCAGAAGTCCCTACAAGAATAGTAAATCAAGAAAAATTTGACCAACTGGGGACATTTTGTTGGTCCCCACACACAAATTCTA